CGAAAACCGCGATTTATGTTTTATTAGCCAATCTTATTAGCGAGACCTTAAACGCATACTGTATATAACGCATCCAGAGAGATTCTATGTTTCTTTCTCACAATTAAAAAGCAGGAAAGTTGAATCCTTTCAATAGCTCACTTATCTCGAATCTTTATCTACGCTATTGATGACATATTTTTCAATAAAGCCGATTTTTTTCTCGTCAAAAATCTTGCTTTATATACCAAAGTACGTGAAAGTCGTTAATTGTCATGGACTGAGAATATCGATCGACCTCGCGAGGTCGTGATATTCACCTATTATTTTTATTCAGCTACGTATCTCGTTGCACATCCCGTGGATGTAAAAACAAAATGTACCAGCAACAACTATTTAATAAAAGCAAGACATTATACCGTCGCCGAAATAAAACATGGAAATAGAAGCAGTTTTCGTAATTTTATATACGCGAGATACGATATTAAAAATTGCGCTTGAATCGATCCATTTCTTGTGTTCCTTGTGCGTCATAAAATACAGCACAAACTTAGACATTTGCACATGTACGAGTATATGTAATGTATCGATCTTTGATAAAAGAATAATATTAAAATTTTCTCAAAATTCAAATTTTATTTTAACAATGGTATATTTGTGTTTGATTTGCGATAAAAAAATGACAGCTCATATTTATATATTAATAATATGAGCTGTTATTTTTTGATCGCAAATTAAATTTGAAAAAAGCAATGTATTTGAGTTACATGCACGATTACAAATTCACATGATATACGTTTGAAATTATTTCAAAAAAGTAACAGTAAAAGATGTCTAATATGCATAAATTTGTTATATATCTAGAGAAAATAAAAACAATTTTCAGAAAATATAAAAATAATTTTTACCACTAAAAGATCTCAGGAAGATAGGAATACATCATATTATCTATTTTACTATTTTCATTTCTATTCTATTTAAAATGTTCCAGACTTTGACCCGGCGATCAATACGGTAAACTGGGATTATGAAAAGTTAAACAGGGTATTATGTCGGTGGCTTTTAACGTAAATGTCTCTTCATGTTCTCTGGCATAATATATACCGATCATATTAAAAGCAATTCGCGCGTGTGTTGATTATTTAAAATTTATAAGAAACAGCCCGCATGATATACCCGCATTCATTTTGAATCAAGTAGTTCGAGATCTAATTGTTTATTATCGCTGGTAACACGTTCTTCTTCACAGCCTTATAAATATTTTAAACGGCTATTACGCCATAGAAATATTACCGTTAAGCCAATGGTAATTCAAGCGTTTACCTATTAATTCTGTATTATTTTTTACGTTTTACATATATACACAATAAAACAAGAGGATATGACACCCTGACCAAACAATATGGAACATTAAAACAACTATTATTAAAACCTGTAAAATGAAGAAAAAAATGTTAATTATTTTTAATATTATATATAATATGCTTGAAGAAACGTCTCGTTAAAATGTAATTCGACTATATGCGCGCGCGATAGTATAAGTAAGTTAAAAATATTATATTAAATTACGATAAATAGTAAACGATTAAAATTACTATAAAAAATAAAAACTTTACTTTTGTAAAATAATTTACAATCACACATACACACACACACACACACACACACACACACACACCAATTTAAAGAAATTGCGAATAGTTAAATATCTCAGCAAAGGCTCAAAATATTATGAAATTATATATTTGCTGGATTGGAAAATATATTCTAATTTGCGTGGAAGTTTGTCAGGGAGTTTAGAGATGTTTGATGTTAATCTTCCACGAGCAATATTAGACTTTAAAGATATAGTTAATTTGTTAATTGTGTGAGTTATATATATATATGTATATACATCTAATATAATACATAAATTTAAATCTGTAAAAAATAAGTAAAATAAAATTTTAATCCAACTTTTATGTGTAATCACACTTTTATGTGTGTGATACTAAAAAAAACTTGTTAAAACTTTCACAAGTATGTAAGAATTTTTTCAGATTTTTATACAGTCCGGAACAATGTAAAAATCTGTATCGAAGTTTAGTATAAAGATTGCAGACGAAGAGTGAAAATTTTACATTATCGACAAAAGGTTAAGTTAAAGTAAAAATTAATTAGAGAAGATAAAAACGTCGATTAAAAATGATATAGTAGTTCAATAAATTCCAAGTGCATATTCTGAATCTGAAAAATGATATACCTTTAAATTAAAAAGTTGTAAAAAGAATCTAGAAGTCGATATGTTTGTTCTTTATACACACGTATTTGCTGTTCGCACGAAGGGAAATTTTCCGGATGGCGGATAGATAACGTGTTAGGCTATACTCTTTGCCAAGTATAACTTTTTCGCGTCGGTGCGCTAACAATGCGCACGTGATTCCATCGGGATAACAATACGACCTCGCGGCGTTCCTTCCTGGTCGGCTTACGGGAAATTGTAGATGAGGCACGATTACGTATTCCGATCGTACGCGATATCAGTCCGCCTCACTTCTCACTCGTGATGGAGTGTTTTCTACCCTCGACCCTTACTCTCTCTTCCGTTTCTTTCCCGTCTATCTACCAAATACTTTACCGAATTCTATCCTAGGCGAGTTCTTTCCTTACCAGGGCTATCTCGATAAATCGTAGTGCCTGGTGCAAAGTTAAAACGCTCTCACAGTCTATTTCTATTACATATATATAAAATAATAAAATAAATTTTACGTTATTCTGTTATATGTACATAAAATTAATTTTACGTTAGATTTAGATATTCTAATTATACAATGAATATTGTATATGTACATTTTTCTATAAATTAGACTACAACGACCACACAAAACTATTTTTTTAATTTTGTCAAGTGATTGGTATGAATTAATAAAATCAAATTTCATTTAAAAAAATTAAGATAAAAGGTTTAAAATAAATAGAGATAGATGGAGAGGAAAGTTCAACGTTTTCTTACCTACAATTTAGAATCTCGTAGTACCAATTGTACGGATTATACAATTGTCCACAAAATTTTGTTTCAGATTCAAATGACACGTTGCTATAGTGGAAGATTAAGATACCAAGTATATAACTTATTGAGATAGCTATAACAATTAAGATTTTGAATTAAAAGTGAGAAACAATCTTTCCAAAATTCTAATTACGCAATTGCCCGTCTTTCCTCCACGATCCAAGTCACGATTGCAATGCGCTGAAAACCGCTACGTATGGCACGTGAATCTACTCGGACGGATAACGAATTCCGAAATCGGCAGCCGGCGAAAATTCGGCAGTCTGCGAAATTAACAGCCGCGCCAGGTCACGCCGATAATTGCGGGTTCCGTTTTAACCCGGGGGCCACAATAACCAAACGGAGCCCTTTAACAGTTCGCGCACATGTTTCATTCGTTCGTTCACTCGCAAGAGAAACAACGCACCGGTCCTCGCATGATATTTGTCTTCCGAAGGAAAAATATTCCATATAGTTTACTGTGAGTTTCAAAGTAAACCAATCCATCCATTCGTGTATAGTCGCATTTTCATCTCAATATAACTTGACGCGATTCGCATACGACCCTCAGACAAAATAAACCGCAATCAGTGTTTCATTTTCACAATAGGCATTATCATGCGACTACCAACTATACATGCGGTTACATCAGAAACATTGCTCGAAATCAATCGTCTTTTGTAATCACTCTAAAATATCTGTAGTCACTTAAAACGTTTATTCGATTTATTTGTGGAAGGGGTAGAAGAAAATAATTTGCTACCGCATATTGTCTCTCTGATTACAGAAATGAGTGGTTATTTAACAAGAAAAGAAAAAATATTATGCAATCGTAGCGTCACGATGTCCTTCACAATTTATTTATTCACTGGGCGTTTATCTTGCCTACGATCATCCTCTAATTATAACTGCCATCGTCGATAAAACGTTAGAAATATTGAAAGCGAACAGTCGACCCCAGCGGCAGTCCCCCGTTCTCGATTCTCGTTATTCGCCAGTATGTTTATTTTACGAATGGGTAGAGCGGTTCTTTCATTGGTGGAGGTCACGGGGAGGGTTTGAATTATACCGGGCCGGTAGTGACGTCGGCAAAGATAATCACATGCCTCGCAACGGTCAGTTCATCATCGCGGTATCACGGGGTCTAACTGATACATCGTGGAATGGAACCCCCGCACGAACCTGAGAGCCGGACGCAGAAAACGGAATGTACGAGTCAGGATGGAAAAAGGAGGGGAAGGGTGAGAGAGAAAAGGGCGACACGAAAAGGTTGACCTTTTTCCAACCCTACCGAGCTCAACCTACGTCTCTCCAGAACGTGGTAGGAACTCTATTAGCAGTGGAAAAATGAACTAAAAGACGCGACGAGCGGCAGAGAATATAGACGTCCACTCAAACGTGGTTCCGTCGAGCTCGTTACCGCATATACATTACCATACTTTTAAATTTAATTGCACATAACGGAGATTGCTCAGAACTAAAAAATATTTCGACATCCATTCTCATATTACGAGTATTTCTGATCTGGTTGTACTAATTAAAAATATTAAGAATGTCATTATTTTACAAAACCAATAATTATAACAATAATAGTAATATGTATTAAGTTCTTTTCTTTTTCATCTATAACTATGATTTGTTGTACAAAGCAGCCAACCTAATGGGTGATTTTATTAACAATTTTACTTTCAGCGACTATCTATGTATAGAATTAGAAAAAGTGAAAAAACCCATAATTCTTTTATTTAGTTTATGAACTGAAAAAATTTTTAATTTATTAGATACTATTGTTTACAATGTAAACAATGGTAATTAACGTAATAAAGTTCAATATGTATTTGTAACTATACAAATATCCAGATATAACGTCACGAGAAATATAAGGGATAACTTTGTTTATATCGAGCTTGCGCATATAAAAGTGCTATTGTAATCGATAATATTGATGAGAATACATTTTTAATAGAATATTCTGCGCTTTTGTGTATTTTAGGTGCCTTGCAGATCACCGAATCCGACGTAAGCGATCAAGGAAAATACGAATGCGTTGCTAACAATTCCGTAGGTACAGAGTACTCCAAGTCAACTACGTTATACGTAAAAGGTAATTTAACATATTTACTAATGCTTGCATGCAAATACTGTAATGCAGATTAAATTAATTAATTTTCAAGCGCATTTCGTAATTATAATTAATATAATTTTTCATTATCTTTGTGTTAAAGAGAGACGCGTTTTTTTTTTAGCAATATTCCTACATTGTAGCTTACAAGATACAATGTTATAAATAAGAAAAAGAAAAAATATTCTAATGGAAATCAGTGGATTTGAAACCGTAAAAAGATGTTGTCATTCAAATAATGAACGTAGCGAACGAATGAGCTCGTCGTAAAGTCACGCCAATGCCATAAACGTAGACATTTTCCTGTTTGTAATTAAAATTAATACAACGCAATTAGAACGTAATTAAACTAAACGGGCGGCACAAAGGGCTCGCGCGACTCACGTAGCGTGTGTTACGCGCCGAGACTTTCCCTTACTTGCGTTCTTGCCACGATCTCGAATCCCGATGGTTTTTGTTTAATCACCTCTATTTACAAAATCTGCGCAACGGCTTTGCAAAATAATCGTTCAGAGTTTTGTGCTTCGCGAATTTTCACTGGGTACAGTTAATTTTCCATTGTAAAACGTGCGCACGTAATTATTCTCTAATTGGATGCACCGTTACACGTATTTGCATTTCGATTTAATATGTTACTCGTAAATAAATAAATAATTACATGCTCAATAAAATTAATAATCAATATATGCATACTTATATGCTGCGAATGATTATGCATATAATTTAAAGACATTACACCATTTTCTTACTTTATATAACAGTGATATAACTAAAAGAATTTAAGTTTAAAAATCCTATTTTTTAACTTAACAGAAAATTACTGGATAATTAAATAATATCGGCAAAAAGAATATGCTTTTAAAAACAAATGTCATTTTTATATTTTTGTTGCATAAATCTTAAAAAAATAGTCTTTCTGAATTATAATGATTTTGATGTTCTACAAAATTATAACAAATCCAGAATAATGTATGCAAAATGACATAATTCGAACCAACAGTTTATATTTATTTTTGGTAACTAAAATGACTAAATTTAAGATTAAACAATTTCTCCTTCAAACTTTCATCACCAAAATTATCTTTATTCTAAAAATTAAGATCTTCTCTGTAGAAGATTTTTCTTTTTACTATTATTTACAAAAACGACATAACTGAAAATGTATTATTTTTGTAGAAGATATAATACAGCTTCTTTGAAAATCTTAAGAACAATACAAATTTAATTTGACAGACTGCGAAATTAAATTGATAATTAAGTAATCTTTGTTTTTAACCGATTTGTGTGATAGAAAATTTTATATTTTTTAGTTATGTCACTTTTCTAGTAAGGGAGCAATATTATGTACAAGCTTTAACTTTTTGCATCTTTTTTACTGACAAGAGAAATGTACTTGTTTTTCAATTAAAAAATTTAATAAATTTGATTGATAACTTTTTAACTATAAACGATTAAGCATTTAGAAGTTTTCATGAATTACTTAAAAACTTCACGAACAAAGAGAAATATTGGCTGTTGTATATTGTTTTGGTATATATAATAATAATTCTTATATTAATGCAAGATAAATCTAAATTTTCGAAAAAATTGAAAAATTGAAAGATTTTTTATTTAATAAAATTTAGTGGACTAACGAACAAAGTATTCATCCTAACAATTGTACTGTGCTTCAGTACGTCGTGTTTCACCAAGCTTCTCGATTCCTCCACCAACGGTGAGCGAGGTGATGTTAGGCGGTTCACTGAATCTCACCTGTGTCGCCGTGGGTGCGCCCATGCCCTACGTCAAATGGAGAAAGGACCCAGCAACTGATTTAACGCCAGAAGACAACCTGCCAGTTGGCAAAAATGTTCTGATGCTTACTGACATCAAAGAATCCGCCAATTACACGTGTACGGCCGCTAGCGATCTCGGTGTAATTGACGCAACCACAATGGTGAAAGTTCAATGTTCGTATCAAGTTTTCTTACTTAGGATAATCATAATCGGTTGTTATATTTAAGATCGTACTTAAATATAGTTTTAACGTGTCATAAGCCAATCACAGGATTGTATTATCTTAATATCTTAAGGCGGTCTTAAAATAAGAACAGAGTATGAACTTTTCTTAAAGTTACTTCTTATTGTTAGAATTATATAGATAGACTTTTTATAGATCGCTTTTTCTGGCTCACGGATTAAGTGATGCAAACCGATTAATTGCGTGTTGCATTCACTACATAAAATAATCAAGTCACTAATTTAAACTTTGAACTATGGTAGCAACAATCGTTATCATAAGCCGAGAAGCAATTTACTTCTAAAGACTATTTGAAAAAGGGTCTTCATAAACATTTTTACTATTACATCATAGTTAATAAATTTAGTGTTTATATTTTTTAAAAAGTTCTCAAATATTGTGACGATTTTACACTCACTTTAGGCGCTTGAATAAATGATTTCATTCAATGTGACTCAGACGCAATATTTATAAATGGTAGAGAGGTGAAGCTGTAATAATCCCACCCTCCCACAGCTCTTCCCGGTCCACCGGAGAACGTTCAAGTGTCCGACATCACTGCGACGTCGGTGAAGCTGAGCTGGTCCTACAAAGGACCGGATGAGCTGCAGTATTACGTAATTCAGCATAAACCGAAGCACGTGAACCAGGCATATGCCGAGATATCTGGTATCACGACGATGTACTACCATGTTAGGAGTCTCAGCCCGTATACGGAGTACGAGCTCTACGTTATAGCCGTGAACAGCATCGGGCGTGGTCCCCCAAGTGCCCCGGTGATAGTCACCACTGGTGAAACAAGTCAGTACTATATAGCATTCTATACTATCGCATTTATTTGTCTCTAATCATTTTTATGCTTCTAACAAAACTAGAAACGATCATTTCCCTTTTTGTAATATATAGTTTACGCTCACGGTTGCCCCCTTTCCGGTTTTAGGCTGGAGACTCTAGCTTTTTGAACGAATCTATAGTTCTTCGGTAAATAGAAAAATTTCCAACTTATCGCTCAAAATTTGGATAACCTTTTTTTCAAGTGTTGATTTTTCTTCGATTTCGAAAATCTCCGGCAGAAATTAGTCTGATGACATTTTGTGGTCAATGATCCTTGGCAAAATTGTATGGTCTCTAGCAAGAGAATTGTCGATTTTCAGAGGAAGTTTTCACTATAATTCGAAGATGACAACCATAAATCACATCATGTTTCTAATCCTGTAACATTTATTAATTAAAAAATTGAAAATTTTTAAACAAGTCGCTGTTTATGTATATCTAACAGTAGATCGGCAAACTAACATCTACGAATATATCATAAAATTGCTTGTTAATTAAAAAAAGATTTTCCCCTAATTCGCTGCTTTCATGCCAAATTAACAAATGAGGGAAAATATCGTTTCTACAGAAATGTTTCTTATTTTATCAGCATTTTTTTTTCTTGTAACTTCGACTTTATTATTCGATCAAGTTTTACAAATAAAAGTAACAACATCTATTAAATCAATCATCTTTAACGTACACAGAAATTAGATTGGGCGTCTGATATCATCGACCGCTACGATAAATTAAACCCACTCATAAATCAACTCACATTTCATTTCTGCGCTTTGCAATGAATATACGTGCGACTCGCAGTAAAGTCCGCCGGTTAAAACGCGAATGCACTTCGAACCCGACGATCCTTTTTTTCATGTATCCATATTCGAATCGAAGGACAGTAACGTAAGGTGTAGTGGAGGAACGGCACTACTTCGACATGAGCGTGAATTTTTTGCACGTAGATAGAATTTTTGTACACACCAGAGAAAGAGGAGCGAATTTTTACGCACATTTTTTGAGGGAAATTCTGTATTTTTTCCATGCTGTCCGCCGTGGACGCACGATTTGATCCATGTAAGTGACAAGAAAATTTTTTCACCTATCACCCTCTTCCCCAACTGCTCTTTGTTGCACCAGTGTATTAGTGTTTTTGCGGGGCCGTTCCACAGCGTTTCGTCGCGCTTCGACGTCTCATGTCATTTGTGTATTTTTACTATATCTCCAGCCTTTGTATCCTCTATAACCTCTCACTACCTTTTCCTCTCTCTCTCTCTCTCTCTCTCTCTTTCTCTCTCTCTCTCTCTCTCTCTCTTTCTCTCTCCCCCTCCCTCCCCCTATCTCTCTTCTATCTCTCTCTGTCTCGAATATACGTCTCCGTCTCCTTGTTTCTTTTTTGCAAAAGAGGGGAGAAACGCGAGAAACGAGTACGCGGGGAAGACAGCACACGAAATTGCACCTTTCCTAACAGAATAGTAGCACACTTCTCACCTCGTGAAAATACGAAAGAGACACGTACTGCTCTCGCAATTCGTATTTTCACTTCGCATTATTACCCATTTATGGCCTGTATTCATAGTCGGTTTTTATATTTCGTTTATAGATCGTCTTCAGTACAGTCTTAAGATGTCATAAACCAATCATAAAGCTGTATTAACGTCTCAAGACATTACTTAAGACAACCTTGAAATAAGAATCGATTATGAATATCGGCCTATATATGAAGAATTGATAATAATCGTCTTGACTTTTTTTAATAGCGGAATCAACAAATGGAGGTGCCAGTAAGTCAAATTATATACTAAGAGTGCCGTAGTGGTACACGCCGATTTCTTTGCTTATTCCTATGTAGTTTTTCATTTTGGTTTCTTCTCATTTCGTTACTTTGTGCATACACAACTGTTATTTTCGTTGACACGCATACGTGCATACTTTGTCACTTTTAATATACATCGTTACGTGCACATCTGCATCTGGGAAAAAACGATTATGCACGAAGCATCTAAAAATTGAGTTATCAATACAGATCGGAAAACAATTTCGTTGAAATCAGAATAATTACCATGTAGGATACTCAAACTGATTGCTCAAAACTTTTTGCAATATCATACTTGAGATTTCTACGTAATTATTTTGATCCAAGAAAATTATTTTTAGATCTGTAATTTTAAGGTATTTCAGCAAAACCGTTCTTTCTGTGTATACACATTTTATTTAATTGCGTCCAGTATGAATTTTTGAAAGTGTATTAATTTATTACCGTAGTGTCATAGTGACGAAAAATAGAATTTCATTCTTCTTTTCCCTATATTTATATCGCACCTAGCTTCTTACAGTTTGTCTTTTAAAGGGTTTTTTTTAGAGGATTTCTTATCGTTTGACTAACTGACGTGTACTACCCTTCCACGGTTTCGTGTGTATTTTGATTGCTTTTCGTCTGGTCTCCCTAATAACACTAAAAACCCGGTTAATCTCTTTTTTAGAACCCGGTACAGCGCCGCGGAAAGTTCAGGTACGACCGTTGAGCTCCAGCACGATGGTCATACAGTGGGATGAACCGGAAACTCCGAACGGTCAAGTGACGGTCGGTGTCTTTTCCGAAATTATCTTTCAACTTTTCCAATTTTTGCGACGATTATCGCTAACGAGCGTGCGATATGCCTCTTCGTAGGGATACAAAGTGTACTACACCACGGACTCGAATCAACCTATGGCGTCGTGGCAGTACCAAATGGTAGATAACAGTCAGTTGACGACCATCTCGGAGCTGACGCCGCACACGATTTATACTATAAGAGTCCAGGCGCTGACGAGCGTCGGTCCTGGACCTCTTAGTCTGCCGGTGCAAATCAAAACACAACAAGGGGTACCGAGTCAACCCGAAATGCTGACAGCGGTCGACATCGGGGAGACCAAAGTAACGCTCCAGTGGAGCAAGCCCGCTCATAGCGCTGAGAATATTCTCAGCTATGAGCTGTATTGGAATGACACTTACGCAAAGGTAGACAGTTATACAATTTTTAAATAAAAGACTCCTTGCTAATTATATGGGAAATTAGATCCTGGTGAAAAATGAGTTACTTTTCACATATAAATTAGCCTATAATAAACAAAAGATGTCATAGACTGACATAAAGATCGTAGCATAAAAAAATGTCCATTATTGAGTCTTATGTTTATGACATCTTTTATATTTGCCACATTATGAGTTATATGTGAAAACTAACTAAACTAAAAATTTAATCAGAATTCAATTTTCTATATGTAATTAGTGCAAGTTTCTTTCTTCTTTTTTTGCTGCTTTTACCGATAGAGTGCGTCGTACAATCTATTTTGCGGTTACGTATCACGCATTCTACTTTAATTCTAATAATATTCTTTATCTTCTCCTAATATCCATATTAATTGGATATTAAAGAGAATGAAAGAATTTTTTAATCGTTCGGAATAGAATAGATTGAAATTCGGAAGATAAAACAATTTTAGAGTTTTTAAAAAAGAGCGGTTTTAAAAGCGATGATTAATCTACTCAATCTAACGCATTCGGCATATCTGCTCGAATCAGGAGAGGCATCATCGCAGGATACCGGTTACCGAGAACTATACTTTAACCGGCTTATATCCGAACACCTTGTACTACGTATGGCTGGCCGCGAGGAGTCAAAGAGGAGAGGGTGCCACGACGATACCGTATCCGGTTCGCACCAAACAGTACGGTAAGCAGAACGCGCACGAATACATACAAAATCGACTGAGTTCATGCAGCGAGGAGTGCCAAACGCATGCTGATACGCGATTATCACGAGGTCGCAAGACGGTCGACTAGCCGATATTCCATACATGGTGATCTCGGGTAGGACGCACCTGAGTCCTTTGGATCCTCGTGCATGATCGCGCATCGCGATGGCACAGCAGGTAGGAGGTGCTGTAGCGCTAGACGCTCCTGCAAGTAGCGTAAGCCATCGAGCACAACACCTTGGAAAGAGCCTTTGAAAAAAGAAAGCGAAGACCTTTCGTCTTCGAGAACGCGTTTAATAATGAAGTAAAAAGGAAAAGAGAGCGTATAAAAAGAAAGGGAAAAACAGAAAAATAGAGAATAACGTTGAAACAAGTGAAGTGTGGGAGAGTGAGAATGACTGCATGCGTTGCAAATAAGAAAGCCGTTTTTGGATGCCACTTTATATATATATCTATATATATACGTACATATCATACATATAAATTGCACTAAGCACTGCATTGATATATGTGTGCATTTTGGGCACCTCTTTTCATTCTCAATAACATGATTGATTTATCGTCCGTTCAGTTTTTCGTTGTCTCGTTCCCTTGCAATTATATAAACGTGTAATTTGTTAACTCTGCGGATTGTACGCCTGAGTTAACACGAGCCGCTCCGGGAGAACTGTCTCTAATCACATCTTTTTTCGACTGTTCAAGGGTCAATTCATGATTTTTTACCTTGAATATTTTACACCTCTCTGAACCTTGACCAAACATACCGTTTTGTTGGTATCCCTCGGCAGTCACCGTCGACTGTGCGCTCGTCTCAGCGTTGAGAAAACGTCAAATCGAGAAATACGAGAACTCATTTGCTCGTCGCGTGGCGTACTAATCGATTTATCATCCGCTCATCTATTATAATTACAATTATTGTTTTAAAATAGAAAGTATTTAAACTTATGAAATTTTGTAAAAAAAATTTAATTTTCATTCATTGATAATTATCCAATTACAATAATCACGCTCCACGACGATAATCAATGAACTTGGGCAAACGCAATCTTTCGTATTCTCACCTTTGACCTCAAGCTAGAAGCCAGTACGATCGGCCGGTAATTACCGATTATGATCCCCGATTTTGTTTTTCTTCCCCTCCTATAACTGAGTGTTGTACAGTCCCCGGGGCTCCGCCTCGCAATGTAACCGGCAAGGCGATCAGCCCAACTTCTATATTGGTATCGTGGGAACCACCGGCTGCTGAACGCTCCAACGGGAGGATCACCTACTACAGGCTGCAAGTCGTCGAGAGCGGTCGCTCCGACTCCGAAGCGAGGAATATCAAACTGAATGACACGCGTTTCGTGTTGGACGAGCTCAAAAAGTGGACTGAGTATCGGATCTGGGTATTGGCCGGGACCAGAGTAGGTGACGGGCCTCCGAGTTATCCTATCTCGGTCAGAACTCACGAGGACGGTATGTATCACAGACACTGACTGAAAGTCTTTCTGTTTATCTCAGGCACGCGAGGAGTAACGTGTAAAATCCGTGGTGACGCACAGCGCGAGAGGGTGAATACTATGTTCTTCAGTAACTATCGCAATATACTAATTGACAGAAAAATAAAAAGAGAGAGAGAGAAAGAGAGAGAGCGATATGATCTCGATGTTTATATTATAGAAGAAACATGTAAATGATCGTAATCGCGACAGAAACCTCAACGCCGCGGTCGCTACGAATTTCACACGCTAAGCTTCGTGAGGAAGAAATACTATACTGGGATGAAGTAATTAACGCGCCTCATCCGAGAGCCAAAAATATAAAAGCCCGCCAAAAGTCAGTCCGGTTATATTCTCGCGCGGTTCCAGTGCGGGTTGCGACGACACGCCGCGTATTATTCTTGATCCGGTGAATGCATTACGTAATAATATACATTACTGTATACTTTCGATTTCAGATTACGCTAACGTCACTTCATCACCTGTCTCTCTTCCCGAACTCTCAAATAACCAGATACTCTCTCTCTCCTTTATCACGATTTTCTGTTCTGTGTCCTCTATGTCTACGTATATCTTTTCTCTCCAGTGACTCTACACTCATATTATATTACATTATGTTTATGTTATTACATTCTATTAAATTACATTACATACAATATATTATACTCTGTATTATATTATATATATATGAGCTTTCCTCTTCTCTCACGCCGTTCTTGTGTTACAGTTATAGTTTCGAGAAACGAACTATCGAATCGCCCATCGTGACGAGAGAGAAAAAGAGGACAGACACGGCCCTTTTTTCCGGTCGGGTTACCTTTTTTTTTGCGCGAACAAAAGTTTTGAGCGCGCACGACTTTTTGTATTTTTCGTGCCTCTCCGATCACGCTACTCCGATCGCTTTCCTGTCGTTCTTTTCGTAACCTCCTTCACTCTTCCGATTTTTAAAAAAAAAAAACAGCATCCACGCGAAACACGAAACGATGATGGCCCTACTTTTTTGGCTGGCGAGATTTTATATTTTTGGATTTTTTGCGACAATAAAATCTCCAACGACTTATTCTAGCTTTCCTGAAATCTCCCAAAACGTCCCTATCTCCTAATCCTCTCTTTTAGTGTGCCCACAATCATTTTTTCCAGGTACACGCAGCCACGGATTTTTCAGAAGCTGATAATCAATTTTTGAGCTCAGCTATTAAAAGATGAAAGAAAAAGAAAGAAACAAATTTTCTTACCGTTTTTTACAGGGCCTAATCGCAACTCTCTCTCTTTGTTCGTTGCCGTTGGTTTTTTTCACCCCTTCCCCAGCCCCACTTTTAAAACTTGGATATCTATTTTGACACGCTAATTAATATCTAATTATACTCACTCAAGTGTTTTTGTCTTTCCTTAAAGCATTTGCAGGAGGATGATCCAGGTTTTGAACAGCTAGTTTTTAAGATTTATTCACATTATCGTAATATATCAATATTATCTAATAATATGTACTCATTACACTCAGTGTTCTTTCTGGTGGTTACCGTGGTTACGTCAGTAAAGATGTTTCGTTTCTCTCCTTTAGTTTATTAATTCACTCTTGCCACGTGTTATGAAGATAGAAGTCAGGCTGGCTGCTTCGCGTGCCATTATTTCCGACGTTTTTTTCTTTTTTTTTTTGTACCGCCACTAACTGCATAGGCCACATGAAACATGTAAATAACACTAACGAACGAAATTAAATAACAACTTTGTTACACGTGCAACAATCAGACGAAAATAATGGCAACGCGAGGGACAGCTTGCGAGTGAAGCGCTTACGTATATATATATATAAAACTCTAGCGAATGTTATCTCACACACAAGAATATATATATATGAGACGCACTTTTTCACTATATATATATATATTACACATATATATATTTCTATATCTCTGATATATAAGGCTCTTCTGTCTTTAGTTGAGATTTAGTTCTACCTATCGTTTGCACATGTTTAGAGCATGCCTTCGTTTGTTTAAAGATTCCTCAATTCCTACGATCCCGAAAATGCAACCCCTCGAACTCGTCCCATCTGAAGAAAAGGAAGGAAACCTGGAAAACCCTACCCCCTCCGTCTCCAACCCCCAAAATCCGCTGAACTATGTCGAGTCTGCGAACATCATTTCCCGATGCAAATACGTTCATATTATACCATCTATATCCTATGAATGGCATGCCGATGCATGAGACAGTTTTGCTTTCTGTTACTTCCTATCCTTATCCCAGCCGAGCGGTATCCCCCAAGGTACCGATCGATCCCGCATGTCGAACGTTTTTGGTCCCCCTTGTTGCCGAATAACGTCCAACATGATCCCTCTCTCTTTCATAACAAACGAATTCGGCACCGAGGGAAAAAATTGTTTGCACGATATTTATACACTAGTCGTTGAAAAAATAAATCTCTACACGGTCGTTAGCCACGATATTTCCCCGGGAAATCATTTAATCGTAACGATAACTTCTCTCGGTGCACGGAGAAGGGGGGCGGTGCGGTACGACCGCGATCGTTAAAAGTTTTACAGTGAGTAAGTAGAAACAACGAATCGCGATTGAAAAAAAATAATCAAACGGGAGAGTTAGAGAGAATTACAAAAAAAAAAAACAAAATTGTCCAGTAGACTCGAAGAAAGAGAAACGTAAGGCAAGGAAAAGATGGAAGTGATACAACTACTACTCTATTTATCTCTAACGGGCTATGAAGACATTCGCGTTGCGACACGTCGAGAACATCATTTGTCGAAGAGGTATTATGTCGCCATGATTGTTGAATGAAAAGTCGTACCGACGCGTCCGTAATGATCTTCCCGTATGCCTTTCACCATTCACCACCACGAAACGCTCTCTCCCTCCACGCCCGGATCCTCTTTCGTTTCTCTACCCTCCTGCCTGCATTCCCATTTCTACGATTCCCCCGGTCCTGGCATTATCCCGTTCACGGAGCAACTGATCCGGTGCCCGTTTACCCTCCCGAAGCAGACTCGGCAGAGCGAAGCGAAACGATAAAAAGCACTGCTGAAAGCACCCTGCCGTGTAAGCTCGCACATTGTCAAGCACAAAGATTCACCGTCACGTGTATAGCATATATATCTATATATCTTCTTACGCATACGTTTACTATTATTACTGACTGTCATCGTTCACTATTTACCGAGAGATATTACATTGCTGCTACATAGTATTATATATAAAATGTCACGCCGTATATACGTATGTGTGCACGGGCACCTTGCAAAAATCACGTAAACACGCGCCGGCACCGTGTGTGTTTCACATTTACTTACTTCTCGCACCCACCACGCACGCATACACGCACACCCGCGGAACCTCGCGGTGCCCACGCGCGAACGTACACGCAAGTGCGTGCGTCGCGCGGTGCTGGCCGCCGTCGTTGGTCGGTATCTGTTATAGTTGGTTTTTATATTTAAGATCGTCTTAAGTACAGTCTTAAAATGTCAAACTAGTCACATCACAGGACCGTATTAGCGTATTTTAAAACGTTATTTAAGGTGGTCTTCAAAGTAAGAACAGACTATGAATACCGGCCGAAATGTCATAAACCAATCACAGGTCGATAATCATTGTTTATTCTTATATTTAACTCACATTCTACAATAAACCGTAAGAAATTACCAGTCATAATCGAATGTGAGAAGAATCGACTATAATTGGTCAAGACTTAAAAAGCTTAGGTAACGGCTTATTGTAGAACACCCATAAGACTGCCTTAAATCTAGTCTTAAGATACCGTAAATCAATCGCAAAGAGTCGTTATCTTAAAAGACGTTATTCAAGATGTTCTTGTAATAAAGAATGTTTGACGAATACTACAACCACATTGGGTTGTAGTACAGCATCGAGAGACGTTACTTTAAGACAATCTTAAAATAAGAACGGATAATGAATACCGGCTGTATGTCTTGTATCTTTGCTCCTTGTGCACCGATTCTCAAGAGCACAAGCACCCGCTTTCACAAATAATTCGGCTGCGAGATAGCACGTAGCATTCACGTAGGACACGTGCGCGGGCGTGTGCGATTTGGATATGCGTATACGTAGAAGCGTTAACGCTCACATGCTGCGTGAGAGAGCACCGTGCACAGCAGCGGCTATACACGTCCGAATAAATATTGTTATAGACGATGCAATATCGTGCCGCCGAGCACCAGCACTGAAAGCACCCTCGAAAAGCACCCCCACTGTCGACTGTCGTGCAACCTGAAGCTCCTTCCTGAGGCGGTCTCGAAATGGTGCGGTGCAAAAGCCATAATAATAACCGAAATGGTAACGATGGATGGATTGTTATTGCGAACGACGTGGTTCGTTTTTGCTGCGAGAAAAGTGCGATTTAATAATATTCGTGAAATTATATTATATCGGCTATTAATCTGTGAAATCAGCGAGCAAACAGATGATCCGCATAAACCGATTGTTAAAAGTTTCTCTAAAGGAAATGTGAAATTATTTTAAAGATCGGTTAAGGCGGATGTGGTGTTTTTAATGTTTTTATCGAAAATTTCGCAAGGATAGCAGAAATTCATAACCGATATCATGTATAATATCACGATAGAAAATTACAATAGATTATTATTGATTCGCGTTACATTTTTTCGAGGCCGCGACAGGAAGGTGCGCGCGTGAATGCGTGAGTGATTGTGTAAAAGGATACCGGATGGAAGAAGGACGACACGCGTAAGAAAGCGTACGCGAAAAGTAATGAAAAAAAAAAAAAAATCAGGGAAGTGATCAGCGACAAAGGAAAACGGTATACAATAAAAAAAAAATCGAGAGAGTTCGCGCGATATTTTTCTCTGCGCCCAAACGTTCCCGACGAAGAACAGAGTCGGATAATTTGTATCGAGAAAGAGAAAAAAAAGAAACGTTCGCGAAGCGTTTTCTTGGAAAACATTTGAATACCAATATTCATCAGATCTATTTCTAGTTATAGTCTTATTTATACATGTTCATCAGTCACAATTTTCCTGGATTCGACGAGTAGATCATTTTCAACGTCGACTTCGCCTCCGCCGGAAACGATCGATGAGTTTTAATATTCGCGTCAACGGGAAAGAGCATCTCTTTTTTTTTTTTTTTTTTTTTTTTTGAAGTATAGCACGCACAAGAAATGGAAATGTGAAGCGCACGCTCCAAAGTGGAACTCTCAACTTCTGCTCGTGCGTAAAGTATCCGGCGTGGATGAAGTACGCTCTCTGTCCATAAAAAAGAAAGAAACTTACCGTATGCTGCCTGACCGGACGGAAACGGAAATTCTGGACATACGTAGACTGCGAGCATCAGGTCCCATTAATTTTCATACGTAATCACTCGACGGTCATTTTCTACATTACGTATATATCTTCGCTCTCTGCATGCGAGACTCTGATCCGTTTTTAACTTCTGTGTCTCTATAAGTGAAACATATAGTACTCTATTATTCAGATATTCGATATGTACGAAATATTCTGTTTTAAATGCCATATATATATAGCATCTTTTTCTATATATTCTACTTTTTATCTCGAGAAACACGCACACGTTTTTTTTACATGGGTATATCTAGAGAAGGTATATAATTTTACATTGTATATGTAAATGTGATTTATTTCCTTTTATATCTCTGAATTTCTAATCAGCGGTTGAAGCAACGCTCTTTTTGTAGGCGTAATGTTTAAAGTCTTAAGAGCTTCGGCTGCCCGTTTAATTGTTCCTGATTGTTTCCTCCAATTTTTTACTCACGTAAACTATATTATTGTTATGTCCCAATAAAACGCATGATTTATAACAGTTCGTTTCCTTTAGCTCGATCCAGCTAGTTCCGCCAATTTGAATTAGACATTTTAGATGTCATCGACAGTTTCGATCACACTCGATCATCGACAGGTACGCGAGCACGATTCGTTAATCAAATAAACGGCTACCTCTACCACCGCATCTCGGCAACGGCTGTCGAAACGTATTTACGCGCGCGTTTTACGCGGTATTTTGTGATTTTTGCGTGGATGAATGCGCGGGTGGATGTTGACATTGAGAGAAAGAGAAAGAAGAGAGAAAAAGAAGAAAAAAAAAAGAGAGATGAGAAGGGGAGACGAATAGCGGAGTACTTTTTATGGTATATCCTAAATGGGAGAGTGGTCTTCCTGTCTACCTCTCTCTCTTTCTCTCTATTTCTTTCTCCCGGTTTCTCTCTCGCTTTCTCTTTCTCCAATTTACCCTGTCTCCCCTTTGCTGAAGCGACACATTTTTTGATCGAGCTGCTGTTTTTTGCGGGTGACTTTTTGGAGTTGCAAAAAAAAAAAAAGAAAGTGAAACAATTTTTCCTCAGAAGACACTCCACCCCAACGACATGTATCCCGATCTTATATCGTGAATTTTTTGACTACATCGTAAAAATATCACGAAAGAAATCGCGAGTTTTTCTCATGACTGCCCATTTCTCTAAAATACCGTAGTGATAACCGACGAAACCTTTTCACTCGTTTGATACAATCCTAGAAACCGTCCACCTTATTCTTTCTTATGGTTTCTCCTATCTATAGCTTTCTTTTCGTAGGCATTTTATCATAGGTCTTCCCTTTGATGTCTCGTGTCGGGGGAAGAAGGAAGGGGGAGGATTCGAAATTCCGACGCTCTGAGATATTATTGTCACCTGTGATTTCGGGCAAATTTCAAGAAACACGTGAGAAATTCGGCTCTTTTGTGTCCCGCCCCCGACACGAGGCAGGTGAACACATTGAGCCTTTAGTTATTTCATATTTGGAGTAGTGATTGCGCATGCCAAAAAAAAATATTCTCACGTCTCCCGCCTCTCTGCGACCAACTGCAACTGAGGGCCAAGCGATCATTCATTTTTTTTTTTGGTCTATGTAACGATCGATTGGAATCATGAATCTTGTTGCCATCGACATTCGTTAGCAGTTGCGAAATAAGCAGTGTGATTGTCAATCGAGCGCATGAGGTCGGTGCGAAAGAGCCAAATTGAGCGAATGCGAACGCGTGTCTGTTTCGAGAAGATATAAGGATAACGAGATCTCTGTCTATATATATATTTTTTTTGTCGTAAAATCGAGAATATAGTTATTATATAGAGAGGGTCAATTTTGATGATAATCAGTAGTATGCTACCCATTGATATGCCTTAAAAATTAATTAAATTACACTATAATTCTATTTTCAATGTACGTGCGAAGTTGACACGAATTTTTACGAGTTTTTTTTCCCACTTTTTTGGCGACTTTTGGGGCGCAGCTGAAAAAAGTGAGTATCCCTTAGCTCGTCTCGAGTTGTGCCATGACATTTTTCTATACCGTCTGTTTTTATTTAATTTTTCCTTTTTGTCATCGTTTTTTGCATATGTATAACACTCTCATTTCGTTGTCTGTCAAGAGAGTTCAATCTCAAAGTGTCGTCCTACAGTTATTTTGTCTTTCCTTATTTTTTTTTGCTGCAGCCAATGAATATATTATAATATAATCTTAAGGAACATATATATATTACATACATTATAACGCTGCGACTGCGCGCGCTCGCTACCCTTGTTTTTTGCGCTACATAGCGAAGTTGTAAGTGTGATCTTGATCTTACTTGACTGTGTATACATGCGAGAGCTAGAAGCAGAGCGAGCACGCGATCTACCAATTGCTTCTCATCAAATTCGCACTACGACGATTCAGTTTCTGCGTCGGAATTTTCTGTATGTACTTTCGTTGCGGCGCAAGTTTCGTTTTTTGCGAATCCCTCCGCCGTAGAGCTGCTGTTACTGTTACTATCGTACGGAAGTAGGTATTAGGCAGTGCTGATTTTTTTTTATCTGGATTTTTATTTTTCTCGCCACGTTTACGTTTCCCATTTCTCTCTCACAATGCGCCAATTAGCCGTTTAGTGAATACGACAAATACTGGACCGTCCATGGAAGTTATCTCGTCTCGTGGAACATCGACGCGACGTCCTGGCATCGCGACGTAAATTGGCCCCCTGACGCTCAATATTATTGTTATACAATTCCATACGTTTCAGCAATATTGCAGCAACGTTGCAACATTCCATCAATGTTACAGTAACATTACAACGTCGCATCAATGTTGCTAGAAAATTCTGTACTCACTTCTTTTAAAGGAATGAGATTTTATTCCTTTGGAGTGAATCTCATTCTGAGAAAAATGAAATCTTACTTAAAAAAAAAAAGAATAGTGAAAAAAATCTACCGTTCTTATTCAAGAGTACAAATATTTTCATTCTTTTTCATTCAATAGTATTTTCACTCTTTTGGAATGAGATTTTACTCCAAAATATATACAGAGTGTACTGTACAGGATTGTTTTGTACAACTATTGATGCCCTCTTTAAACAATTCAAAACTGTCTGGAAACTCAATATAGCCTTTAGATTATTGATTGTGCGATATCGAATATTGTTCAATAATATTGATCATCTATGCGGGCTTTAAAAGTCATGGAGTTTTTAACGCGACTAGTACACCGTGTGGTAATCTCGACTTTCTAACTTCGACAGTTGTGTGCGGTGGCCGTGGTTGTAAATAAACGTAAATAAGCAATGTCTGTATATTTACCGCCACTCTGCCTCGCATTCATTCGAGGAGCAAGATCCCGCGTCGTCATCGCTACCAGTAACTTTCGTCCCTCGGCGAGCGTACTCGTTGCCCTCGCAACCCCTTCGCGAAAACTCGCGTGCAACTAACTATCTACTTAGTCTCTCAAGTCATGGACTCTCCAATATTGCTGCTATGTATCGTGTCCAACGTTACCGCGTACCTTTCCGTATGACGTGTCTATATACGCGCGCTTGTATATGCAAAGTCGAACTGAATGCGCGCGGATTTAAAGAAAAAAGAAAAGAACTTGACGAAAAGAGAAATAAAAAAAAAAAAGAGAAAAAAGCATTATTGGTATTCAAATGGAGGATTGTAATCGTATCAGGGGCGTAGAGCATGGGGTACAACGTGCCTCGTAATATTGTTTGTACGTCGTTTTGTCCGTGTGTGATTGGCGGCATGTAATTACCTTCTCCACTATTTTCTTCGTCTTCTTGTTCTTCTTTTTATCTTACCATCTCTCTTTCGTTCGCGACTTTATGTTACTTATGATTTCTCTCTGCAACCGCTCGCAATCGCTGGTACTTTCGTTTCTTTTTTCGATTATATCTTACTGCTACCTCGTTCTAGCTGTTATCCACTTTTTTTTTCTCGTTTATAGCGACGAATTGGACGACGAATGGACGGTCGCGAAATGTAGAGAAAATGTTTTTACATTGTATAAAGACTGATTATACTTCTCGCTTTTCTTCCCTTAAATACATTTTATCGTACGACAAAAGTATAATAATTTGTGCCGCTACCGACATATTATTGCTTATTGCTTCTCACATTGTTCTTTGGCTTCTAGAATGTAAATAATGACGTAATAATCTTCCGGCAGAGACAAGACAGACTGTGACTTACATACCATTTGATTTCTTTTCTTTCTTTTCTTTCGATCGTGTTTCTCTTTAATTTCACAAAAAGATTTTATTTATTATTTCAGATTTAGTAAATCCGTTATTTATTATCTCCTGTCCGCGTAAGTCTGTGCGTGTACATGGGCGTGTGTCTGTGAGTGTGATATTGGACGAGAGTAAAGTGCACGAATTAATTATGGATTGCGTTACAGTGCCGGGGGATCCTCAGGACGTCAAAGTCACGCCGATCAACTCGACGACGATACACGTCGAGTGGAAGCCACCGAAAACAAAAGAGCAGAACGGCGTCATACGGGGATATCACATACACGTGCAAGAAGTGAGGGAAGAGGTCAGTTTGTGGCTGCTGTACGATCAATAGTGTGGCGTTAGAAGTTTTGGGTTCTTACGCGAAACTTACTGATAAGACCCTTTATCTTCACTATCTCTCTATTCACGTGTAATATTATCGCAAGTCCTTTTATCCTTGTTTAAGTATTAATAAGACATACTTCTTAAATAACATATTAAATTATGATACTAAGGTTTTTAAAACAAATACATACAGAATATTTCATAATGAAAAAAATTTACGGAGAGAAATATTATAAATATGAATCAAATAGTCTGATAATATTAAAATATCTGTAGTCCTTTTAATTTTATCTATTTCTTGCTTTATTACAAAACAGAACATCCATTCCACAAAATAATCTCAATAAATTATCTAAACTTTTTTTTATAAAATATGGTATGTGTTTAATTTGAGAATAATTACTTAATTTTTTATTATACGCAAACGATCGCCAAGAATGATTTTTACAACAATTAAAAGTTACTATTATTAATTATATATTGAATATTATTTATTATTCTCTAGTTTATTTTAGCATTGGAAATTATTATATAGATTTATTCAATATTTTTTAAAACAAAAGAAGAAAAACTAAAAAATAGGTATATGTTTTCTAATCAGTAAAGAAATCTATTGTGACTGATAAGAAGGCTGTCGAAACTGCGCCATATCAATTTTAATAGACTTTTTGTAATATATATATAAAATATGTTTTTAAAAAATTAGATAGATTTATATTTTTTGCCTTATTTCAAGATTTGGTGATCAAAATAACCTCTGGGGATGAGAGCAAAATAAAAAAAGATTTCACATTTATTAAAAATATACAATTTTAGTCTAAAAAATTTTTTACATATAATTTCAAAGATATTCATTTTATATATACAATATATATAAAATGAAAAAATTTATTTTTTATTTTCGAAGGATTGTTAAAGAACAAAGATTTCGATTTCTGAGTCTTCAGTTAAGTGTAAACTAAAGTAGTAATAATATTTTTTTATACTTTATAACAAATTCAAAATCTATTTAAACGGATGAGGGGTAGTTCTGATAGTTGAATTTTATTGTTTCTCTTGCTGCTGGGATGCAAAAAATTACCTCACGTTGTTATTCGCAGGTTAATATAATAAATTAATATTTGAGAACACACACAACACACAAATTAATAGTGTAACAATAGTGTGAGACTATTCGTGTATTTGTTAACGATATCTATCTTGAACAAAACTTAAGTAAAAGCAACGACAAGTATGTAGATAGATACGGAAGAGTACTTGCAGTGTAAGCATAATATAATTGTTTCTCAGGGGAAAGATCTACTGAACGAACCGATACGTCGAGACGTGCACGAAGGCGTGCTAGAAGTGAACATCACCGGACTGCAACCGGACACGAGATACTCGGTACAGGTGGCGGCGTTGACGAGAAAAGGAGACGGGGACCGCTCAGTACCGATACACGTTAGGACCCCGGGTGGTGTACCAAATAGACCACAGGTCAACGTAAAGTAAGAAATGCTTATTTAAAACAATGAAATATCGTATTGTCATTTCAACGACTCGATTTCTATGCACATTATTTTCTCAGAGTCCTGAGTAGAGGCCCCGATGTTTTGGAACTTGAATGGAGCCAGCCTTCTCAAACCTACGGTAATCTGCTAGGATACCGTATTCGATACGGTATAAAGAATCAAACGCTCAAAGAGGAATTTATCGAGGACACACGTCAGCATACGTACAAAATCACAGATCTTGGTGAGAAAAATTAACATGTACCATTGTTATATTTTGTGCTATATGTAATAATGTCGTCTCTTTACTTCGAAAATGACACAACTCAAAAAATATGATTTTCAAAAAATGTGATTTTTATTATCTTGAATGAATTAGGTAAAGATTACTACAATATTAATCAACTAAAGTAAACTAATAGCGAATTCGATTAACGCACTAGTGCGCACCACTGTAGTGATGCACATTAAATTAGTGTACATTGTACATTGAATTCAATTAACAATAAGTGTAAAATTGAAATGTAAATATTTTGAATTATGAACCGATATTTTACCTAGCAGCTCATAATAAAGTGCACTGGGGATTGTACGGTTTAATCCTTATGCTTATTACGATAATAATCATAATCGCTCTGGATAATTTTTAAATTACTTATAATTCGTTTAATTTAATACTTATTTGTGTTCAAATAATAAATCTGTAGGAGAACAAGGTGTTGATTACGAGTTCAGAGTAGCGGGCAAAAATGACATCGGTTTTGGCCAAGAGACCGTGCGGTACTGGTTTAGTCCGGAAGGCGAACCAACCGGACCACCGACAAACCTGTCGTATTTCTTTCAAACTCCCGATACTGTGTGCGTGACCTGGGACAAACCGCTTCGACAGCATAGAAACGGACAAATAATCGGATACGACGTACAGTTCAACAAGAAAAACGATCACTCTACCACTATAGATAGGAACACGACCAAGACGAGAGCGGTATTCACGAACCTAGAGGAGAACACTGAATACGTCTTTCATGTCCGAGCGCACACATCGCAAGGCAGCGGTCCGTACTCTGAGAAAATCACGATAATGACAGAAAAGGACATCGGCCGAGCTCCAATGTCTGTAAGAGCCGTAGCCACATCGGATTCTAGCGTGGAGGTATGGTGGGAACCAGTACCCAACAGAGGAAAGATCGTCGGTTATCAGATTTTCTACACAACGACCGCCGTGGAAGATCTCGATGAATGGAAACAGAAGATCGTCGGTCTGACGGAATCGGCGGATCTCATCAATCTGGAAAAGTTCACGCAGTATGCTATAACAGTAGCGGCGCGTTACAAGACTGGTCTTGGAAGACTTAGCGAGAAAGTCACAGTAAAGGTGAAGCCAGAAGACGTACCGTTGAATCTCAGAGCGCCGGATTCGTCGACGCATTCGATGTCTCTTTCTTGGACTCCGCCCATAAGACTGACTCCACTAAAGTACAAAGTTTCATTTGATGCTGTTAAAGAGTTCGTAGATTCTCAAGGTATAACGCAGACGCAACTCGTGCCCCGCAGGCAGATTCTATTGGAACCCCAAATTACGAGTACAACGATAAATGAGCTACAACCGTTTACCACTTATAACGTCAACGTGAGCGCAGTACCGCGCGACGGTCAATACAGACCGCCGGCGAAAATTACAGTCACTACACAGATGGCTGCGCCCAAGCCAATGGTAAAACCGGATTTCTATGGTGTGGTTAACGGCGAGGAGATTCAAGTTATTTTGCCGCAAGCTTCTGAGGAATATGGTCCAATCTCGCATTATTATCTCATCGTTGTACCCGAGGACAAAAGTACGGTCGATAAACAGCCGGATGAATTGACGGAGGATATGATCAGCGGAAAAGGTGCTAAGCAGGAAAGAGAAAACGCACCCTATATCGCAGCTAAGTTCCCACATAGAGACATTCCATATACGTTCCATTTAGGCAGCGGAGACATATATGAGGGATACGAAAACCGAAAGCTCACTAAAAATAAGAGATACAGGATATTCGTACGGGCCGTAGTCGATACTCCGCGAAAGGTAAGTTACAAGAAATGACTCGAGTAACTCTTATACAAGCGACTTGTGAATATAAGTTAGCAATTATGAAAAAATATTCATTTCAGCATTTATACACGTCGTCACCGTTTTCTGAATATTTATCTCTGGACATGAGGGAAGTACCTCCTGGCGAGCCACCACGTCGGCCGAATCCCAACACGCCTTCGGACGGAAATCCGGAAGTTTCTGTAAAAACTAGTGGTCAAGAACCAGGGATGGTATGGGTAGTTGGTCCTATAATTGCGGCATTGATGGTTAGCGTTTGCCTTGTGCTTCTATTCGTCATTAAAAAGTAAGTTGCATTTTTTTTAGTAAAAAATAAATAAAATAAAGTTTATAAAAAAAATTGAACGCACATCAAATCTATCTTTTAATTATTTCAGACGAAGACAGCCATGTAAAGCGCCGGATCAAGCAGCCGTTACACGACCACTCATGGCAGCAGATATAAGTTCCAATCATGCACCGTCAGACCCGGTGGAAATGCGACGATTAAATTTCCAAACACCTGGCATGATCTCACACCCACCGATTCCTATTAGCGAACTAGGCAATCACATTGAACGCCTGAAAGCGAATGACAATCTGAAGTTCAGTCAAGAATACGAGTCGATAGAACCTGGCCAACAATTCACGTGGGACCATTCCAATATGGAAATCAATGCATCGAAGAATCGTTACGCCAATGTAATTGCATACGATCACTCGCGAGTTATTCTTCAAACGGTTGACGGTATGCCAGGCTCCGATTACATCAACGCCAATTACTGCGACGGTTATAGAAAACAGAATGCATACGTGGCTACCCAAGGACCATTGCAAGAAACATTCGGGGACTTTTGGCGTATGTGTTGGGAATTACGTACCAGCACGATCGTGATGATGACAAAGTTGGAAGAGAGAACAAGGATAAAATGCGATCAATATTGGCCTACCAGGGGATCGGAGACTTATGGACAGATGACCGTGACCATCAGCGATATTCAAGAACTGGCGACTTACTGTATTCGTACATTCCAGGTTTGTCGAGCGGGCTATTCCGAACGACGAGAGATAAAGCAGCTGCAATTCACAGCATGGCCCGATCATGGCGTACCAGAACACCCTGCACCGTTCTTGCAATTCCTGCGCAGAGTCAGATCCCTCAATGTACCCGATAGTGGACCATTGGTGGTACATTGTAGCGCGGGGGTAGGAAGAACTGGCTGTTTCATCGTTATAGACTCGATGTTGGAAAGGATCAAACACGAGAAGATGATCGACATTTATGGTCACGTCACGTGTCTACGTGCTCAAAGGAATTACATGGTACAGACAGAAGATCAATACATCTTCATTCATGACGCTTTGTTAGAAGCCGTGATTTGCGGCAATACGGAAGTACCGGCCAGAAATCTGCATTCTCACATTCAGAAGCTCATGCAACCGGAGATCGATAATATAACTGGAATGGAATTGGAATTCAAGAAGCTTTCCAACATCAAGGCTGACTCAACTAGATTTATATCCGCGAATTTACCGTGTAACAAACATAAAAACCGCCTGGTCCACATTTTGCCTTATGAGTGCACCAGAGTATGCCTACAACCGCAGCGTAATATCGAGGGATCTGATTACATAAATGCGAGTCTGATTGATGGATATCGCTATCGGGGTGCCTACATAGCTACGCAAGGTCCTCTATGCGACACTACTGACGATTTTTGGCGTATGCTTTGGGAGCATAATTCTACAATCGTCGTTATGTTGACAAAACTGAAAGAAATGGGCAGAGAGAAATGCCATCAGTATTGGCCGTCCGATCGATCTATTCGTTATCAATGCTTTGTCGTGGATCCGATCGCAGAGTACAATATGCCGCAGTATATTTTACGAGAGTTCAAGGTGACGGATGCGCGCGACGGGGCGAGTCGCACAGTCAGGCAATTCCAGTTCATCGACTGGCCGGAACAGGGTGTGCCGAAATCCGGCGACGGTTTCATCGACTTTATTGGACAGGTGCACAAAACGAAGGAACAATTTGGTCAAGACGGACCGATCACCGTACATTGTAGCGCCGGTGTAGGAAGAACAGGTGTCTTTATAACACTTAGCATCGTTTTGGAGCGAATGCAGTACGAAGGTGTGGTCGACATATTCCAGACTGTGAGAATATTACGCACGCAACGTCCAGCTATGGTTCAAACTGAGGTTTGTAAATTCTAATTTCAATGCTTTGCAAGTATAATATGTTTATGTATATGTAATCGTGATATCATTTGCAATATTCTTGCCACAGGATCAATATCAGTTCTGCTATCGGGCCAGTTTGGAATATTTAGGCTCCTTCGATCATTACGCCAACTGACAAGCCGACACTCGCGAGCAGAGGGATCTGTCGAGGGATAAACGAGACCGGCAAAGAGGCGAGAGAGATATCGAGAGAGCAAAAATACGACGTGTCTAGTACAATAAAGTCGTATGACATACTCGTACCTTCCAAGGACAAATACAGTAGTAACGCGATTACTAGTGTCGTGGGCAGTTAATATAGAGATAAAATGTTTAGTCAATGGTGTTGCAGCAAATGCGCCGGAAATTTTCACTTCTGATATAGCAAATGCGCGAAATCGTGCTGAAAAGCACTCGGTTTAGTCTAATCTCTTTTTAGAAATTAGATTTGAAAGTTCCCTTGCGATGACGCGAGTTAAAAACTGCCGTTTAGAAATACGTACAATACACATGATTACACAGGCTATCATGTTGTATGATGTCACGTAGATACATTCTCTTTTTATGCTTCTTAATTTCCAAGCATTTACGTCAAAAAATCAATCAGCCAAGTATGATGATATAATCAAAATTATATACCGTCATCGCGTAGGATCATATTCGCGAATTAGTGAATTGGAACATATCTCATTATTAAGTCAATCATTCGCAAAAGCATTTTTTAAGGTCTAGATCTAATTTTAAGATAGACTGAAGATATCGACCATATCTCTCTCTCCTACTCGAAACATAGTGCATCTTCTGTGCATAGTATCTCTTACAAACTGAGACAGAATGAAGATCAAAATCTTTCCTATTTATTGAGGATAAGAGTGCTTCCTTCAATAACGAATTACATAGAGGAACGAGATGATCTCGATATCGACATTCATGTTTGTGAGAGAAACAGAGTATCGAAATGCACGATCAATTGTATGTGCGAAACGCACATTGTAAAAATCAAGAACTTACTTTACGTGGCATATTCCACGAGTACTTACTAAATGTAGAAAGAAAAATGGATCGAAAAAGCAGTGAAGTAACTTTCTTTAGATACAATAAAATAAAGAAAGAGAGAGATGAAAATTTCCGCTCACAAGAAACAAAAAATTGCCATACTGCCAAATTGACAATTATTAATGCTGTACTCACTATGAACAGTAGGGATCTTCTCATTATGATAATGTTAGATAGATTATGAGAAATTGTTTTAAGGATAGATTAAGTGACGCCATTAGGGAAATGAGAATGAAAGAAGGACCCGAGTGAAAGAAGGATGAAAGGAAACGGTGCCTATTCAATGAAAGGTGCGCAAGTAAATTTGCGCATGTTTCTGTAAAAGAAGGAAAAACTAATTTAAATAGAAGCACTGTATGTTGAATTCGTAATACTGTTCTCCCGAACCCTCGATACCCTTATGTACAAAGTTCCAACATAGCTTCTACCTCGAATATATCTAATTGCCTCTCGAATATATTTAAATGGATAATTACAAATTTAATTATCAGTTAAATGTTTTTTTAGCTTACAAGTATCTTATTAAAATTAAATTTACGCTGAGTATTATACTATGTATTAAATTGCACTATGTATTAAATCATCGACATTTGTATTGTATAATATAAAGTTTTTCTTTTTCAAATGCCAGATCAATGCCAAGAACACATAATGAAGACATCGCTACATGATATATTTGTTACGATAAAAATATTTAATTCGGTAATTTTATAAAATTTTTGATAACTACAGAATTATTGGTTGTATCAAGGAATAATACAATCGAATATTTTTTTCTTAAGTAATCAATTGATTTGATCAAAATAAACACATTAATTACCTTAATTTTATATAATCACATGTTTTTTCTTAGTAATCAATTATAATTTAATTAAAATAGACATATTTAATTAAAAGACTTTAATTTTATCGCTAATAAATATTTAATTAATATATTAATGAATGTAACCAATAATTCTATTGAATTATAGATGATTTTATAAAAACGCCAATTAATCACTTTTATCGTGACATTTTATCCATTTTGTATAGTAATAACGACTTCGGATGAATGTATTGCAATTTAAAGTTGCAAGATCTCCAGTTTATGAGGACAATAATCGCTCGATTACATCTTCAAAACCTATACAATACTGTTCGGTATAGTAAATATCTTGTAGCTAACATTTTAGAATAATTTTTAAAAAAGTATATATTCTATATAATAGCGAACATAACATCATCTAAATAAAGTAATTTATTGATCATAAATCTTCTTTGGGGTTTTTGGCATTTTTTTGGCTATAACGATTCTACATTTATTACGAAATACTCTTAATTAAAGTTGAAACGACACAAATAATATTACACGGAATGCTATTTCACAATTTTATACGATTTTGCTCGAATACTCCTTTTACCATTAGTTATTATGGTTCGAGGGTCAGGAATTGTGACTAAATGTACATAAATTCACCGTCTGTCATTAGCAACATTATATAAATATATAAATATATATATATATACATATAAAATGATAAGTAATATATACATAGATATATATATATATATATATATATAAATATCATAAGAGATACAAGTGTGCATAAGGACATGAAGATGTTTAAAAAGATATCGGCATTTTCCAGAGTACCGTGTTAAGTTTTAACACAAAAAATGTGTATCCTACTTAGTACGTTGTATCCACTTGTAATTTTCTCGATATCTGTTATTTCCAATTTTAAATTTGTTTAAATACTTTTTTTACGTAGAATATTTTAAATGTATTTATCACATTGTTTTAACAAATGTACTTCTACAATGGCTTTCAAGCAGTGTTTCTTTACAGATTGGATTATCAAAAAAATTACTTATTCGCTTTAATGTGATATTTTTTTTTAACAAACTGAGGGCCATTATATAATATTTACTATGATAAATTCTTTGTGCTTGAAAAAGTACTTAAAATATTTTATTAATATAATTAAAATATACGTAGTTATATAATACATCAAATTTTTCACTGCCTGTTAAACCATTTACAACCATGGCATTTTTCATAATTTATAATGTAATGGTAATAATTATAATACTACTTGTAATAATAATATGTAATGATAATGCTAGTTGTAAAAATAATTCTATACGAATTTGCCTTACGTCAAAGTTCATTACATAAGTAATACTTTAAATTAACAGCACATTTTAAGTTATCATGTTAAGTATTTCTACAATGTGGCAGCAGATCCTTTATTACGACTTACTATTTGGCCTTCAGAATGTAATCATAAGCAACTATTTAACATGCAGCATTTTATTTTAAAGAAAATATATATTTATACAATATTTTTATAATTACTTTTCTTATAATTTTAATTTTTATCAGAAACATTGCTTTAGCAAAATTTCTTTATATAATGTTCTTCTACTAAACATTTTCAAGCAAATTAAATTACGAATAGCGAATTAAATTAGGATTTTTGATAGCTTTGAATGGCAGAAAATGATTTTGTAATATTTTTATTTCTTTGTGTGCATAATTTCAAAAATTATAATTGGTATTTAAAGACTCACACTTTTTAAGATATTGTTAATGGAATGTTATACATGGTGTATGACTGAATAACGTTTATTAGCTTTCTTACAAACGATTGAAAATGTTAAACACAAAATTGAAAACAACATGTTTTAAGATATTAAGCTATAAAAATGGATATTTGAACAATTTTCATCTGTAAATAACATTAATTTATTTTCGTATTGAAATATTTTTTCTCATTAGTGTATAATTAATCGTTCATCAAAGTTTACAAAGTTAAATTATTTTAACTACTAATTTTGGTAAAGTAGTTCTTGATATGGGAACATTTCTCTCAAGAAAACTAATAGCTCTTAAACTTTAAAAGTCAAACGCCCTGTACACACTGTGGTTTTTATTATAATGTTCTTAAAAAGAGAAAAAGACTTTTGCTAAGAATAACTTTCAAATCATTATGATAAGTATATTCATCTGTAACAAATCATTAAGCGTTTCATCCCATTAAACATTCTTCTGAGAATACTGTAAAGCGTATTAAGTTTTAATAGCATTAAACTTGGCAGAACTTTCGTGAGAAATTTATGAAATTTGAAACTTATAAGTTATAAATTTATGTGATTACATTTCAATGTAATTATTATCAACATATGTACTTTGGTAACTTTCTTAATGGCTTTACGTTTAAAGTCCCGAGCTAAAATTTGTTATCAAAAACAAAATTAAATTATTGTATAAATATACTACTAGGTTATAAGTTGATATATATATCATTAATCTATACTCACTAAAATTTACTGCTACAAGGAAGTCCACAAAATATTCATACATTTATATTATAACATAATTATAATGTTACACTAAGTTTTTTGTATCATTCCCTGAAACTTTCGTGTATGTTGTATTTTAGTACAGTAACCCTTAGTCTTTATAATTTTTTAATGATCTAAAGTGTATAGCAAAACGATATGTGGTTTGTTGTATTCTTCTTCTTAAAAACTTACGACTCGCGCGTGTTTTCGGAGCAGTTTTGATAATATAATAAAATACAATCGGCTACTATAGCTCCGTGCAATATAGCGAGTTTGTTATTGTGTGTAAGATCGCCTCAAATTCATCTGTAGATGAATCAGTAAAGTGACTGCGGTCGCAGATCCGAAGAAGAATATGAATTTAAATGCAAAGAATAAGTCAAATACTAAATATCGTTGAAAGAATGGGAAATTATTTTGTGATACTTTCTTGCCAGAAAGAATACAACAGGCTGAAGTAAAAAACAATGATAAATGCAATGTTACTAATTAACAACTATACAAAATAAATATTGTGTAATAGGAAGAGTCTGTTGACGAGAAAAAAAAAATACCGTGTACATTATGTATTGCCTTGCGGCATTAATAAACTAGTACTAACATATAAAAGATGTTTCCTTTTTTTTTAATATCAATATTCGTTTTAACCTTTCCACAACAGACTAGATAACAAATAAACAAGCATCTCATCAAGTAATAATAATAATAATAATGTAGCACCTGAAGATTGATAACGATTTATTATATGGTACATATAATACTTAAAAGATACTGTCTAACATTACTTGTATATACAAACATTTGCAAATATTAAATTATTATCATGAATATAAATTTTAAATGACACACGCACACATTAATGTTTGATAATTTATATAACATTAGTTCGTTGATTGGAATTATTCGTTGGAGGACTCCTGTTCATCATTGATGTAACCTGTGGTAAAATAAATTTAAATAAGAATGATATCTGAGTATATAAAAGAAAAATATATTATTTGTGGTATATATATTTCGTAAAAATATACGTTTTGAAGCACTTGTTTTCTGAAGAAATCACTTGTGGCAGTTGAAATATTTTGATCATTTCCCATTTTACATTTGATATAGCCATACAGATTTGCACCGTTTAAAACTATGGCAATGCAAACGAGCAGAAGCCATTTGAATTTCAAACCAAATAATGCTGCAATGAATAACATTGACCAAAAAAATGGGCATAAAATCAGGGCTAACCAAAAGATTCGCGCCTCGGCAGCATTAATGCGGTTCTGTTGTGCACCCTGAAACACAGGGCACATAATAGACATTGGACTTACACATGTACAAGAAAATGACATTTAAATAATCTAAATCATTCAAGCTACATATTTTATAAATAACCACAATAATGAGCAGCTGGAATGGAACATAAATTTAGATAACTGCCTACTTTTAATCTGAATAATATATATGTAGTTTTAGAAAGTGCCAAGGGCATATAAAAATATAACAGCTGGTAAACCTTGAATAACCAATCCAATTAAATCAATGCTTGCTGGAACATGACAAATAAAAAAATATATATGCTAATTGAAAGCTATATTTTAATATAATCTCTGTAAATGGAACATGTGATATAAATTATAAAGCAACAACACTGATACAAGCTTCATACTCCAAGTACAGAATCAAATGATTTCCTTGCTACATTGTTAAGCTAAAGGATATATAAAAGAGGCACTTCCTCATTAGAGACTTTTATCGTTATATTGCATGGTGACATAAATATAATATACATACAAATTTATATAATAAGCGAACCTTTTTAGATTCAAAAATCCAATGGCTTTTGCCATCGTCATCCACATAATTCCACCATCTAAGGCCAACCATTAATCTTCCCGTAATATTTTTAACAGTCCAAAAATCCATCGATAAAAGTAGTACCACTGTTACAAAGCTTGCTATAAAACTATTTGAAAACAAACCGCAAAGCAAATAAACTATTATAGCCGCTATTCGGAAGGCCAAGTGAAACAGCGTAACATATGGGTGTCTAAAATACAGAAGACAATATTTTATCTTACAAAAGAATGGCCTACTCGAATTCAAAAGATATATGATCTTCATTATTTGTACTTAAACTTGTTGGAATTCTGGGCATCCTCCTCTCCAAAAGCAATCGTGTCGTCATCCATCAGTAAGGGTACCTATAAATGAGATCATGGAACATATTCAATAAAAGGAGTATCAAGCATACATTTATCTTCATGCAATTTATCATGTATTTATCAACCTTCGAATATTATTATGGGTAGTGTAGGTGAATTTTCACCCATGCACTTTTTAAGTATCGTACAGTTTCAGTTATTGAAATTTTGACAGCTTGAAAATTAATAAGATTATTTAAAGTTCATTCTTTTACATCAAGAAATAATATTCTAACATAGGCTTAGAAAAGTGTAAACAAATCTTAACTATATGGATGAATTTTCACTCAAGTAGAATTAACTTAAGAATAATATGAGTGATATTTCAGTACTAAATCTATTAGGACGTGGATAAACTAGCTCAGACTGTAATCTGCATTTCTCGAGTGAAATAAGAAAAAGAAAGAACGAGACACGAAACTGAACCCCGAGAAATCCCGCATTCGCTTCCGCAAAGGGCGTGATTATCCATGTTACGAACCCTTCATCAGTGTACGCTAGGAATACGTACGGAAATGCGCAAGCGAATGTCAGAGTGACGACCTTCCACCGACTATCGGCGACTAGAATTATTACTCCCAGTCCCCTCCGTAATGAAACGACACTTATTTTCGCTTTACGAGACAATCAGATACCTCGTGGTTAGGCACTACGACTAAAAAAACATTACGTGGCATCAGTATGCGATCGATCGCGCGGAAGAATCGCGGCGTATACACCTACCGTTGCAGACGCCATGTTTGCACGTTCACAGCTCAACGGTGCGATGGATCGTGCGTCGTCTGCTGGACGGCTGGGCCTGCCCGGGCCGGAAAGATGGTGGCCTCGCGATCGATAGCCAGCCAGCAGTCTCGTGAAGTATCGTCCCGTTGTGAAAAAAATTGCGCCTCAAAATGCGTCACGACAATGCTCGCGTTCTGCAGTTTCACCGTCGAACATTGTTAATCAAGGTAAGCACTAAGCACCTTGACATCGTTAATAACCGGTGCAGACGAAACCTTGAGACGTGGCGTCGACACAGACGAAAGTCGCGCCAATCGTACGACTAATTGAACGCGGCGATGACTGGCCGAACGCGGCAGGCGCGGACGCGTTCATTGGCCGCGCATATTCTCTCGCGCATGCGCATTGCGACTCCTTATTGACCAACTCCAATTCATTTAATCAGTAATTATTTTAAGTAATACGAATAAAACTATTAAATTAATCAATAGAATTATGTAATAACGTATTGAAATGGATTAAAAACAACGGACTGTATATTAGAGACTTTAAACAATTCTGCCGGTCAAGTTATCCGCTGATTAAATTAATCGAAGTTTAATCAAAGTCGTCCTTAAGTTACTTGTCGATTGAAACTCAATTTACACATTAAAAATTGATTCCGAATTAGTTATTAAGTTCGTAAATTATTTTATAAATTATTAATTAAAGTTATTTTTTTCAATCAATATCATTATGTATCATAACTTATATAATAATAATAATAATATGATATATATATATATATATATATATATATGTTATAATAAATTAAGCGTGGCGTTTGCAGAATTGAAATATTAAGATATTTTTATTGGTTTATATGTTGTTACAGGCCGCCGGTCTAGATCTTAAAGAAAATTTGGGCGCTGGTGCTGCAGCAGCATGGCCTTATCCCTCGATGTACCATCCTTACGATGCTGCTTTTGCGAATTATCCCTTCAATGGGTAAAATTATGTATCATAACTTATATAATAATAATAATAATATGATATATATATATATATATATATATATATGTTATAATTTCTTACTCAATGGAAAGACTATAATCTACAATGTGTGCTCTTCGCTTTTTCTCTTTCTTGTTTTTGCCTTTTCCTTCTTTGCGCCCATAATTTTATCATGATTCTTATCACTTTTTTTTTTCCTTATTTCTTATTAAGTTCACCAATTTTTATTTCGCATGATAGAAACAGAATAAAAGAAGACAAAAGCCAAGAGATATAAAATAATAAAAAGCAAAAAAATGGAAATTGTAACGGATGATACAAAAAGAGCATACCAAGTAGGTCTAATTGTTAAGATGCGCGATGGAGTGCTTCCTAGTATTTAAGTAACACACAACGTCGCAACACAACTTATCTTTCGTGGAATTCCATGAAAAACAAAATAATACTTATATCACAAAAACGGGAAATATTCATATACACAAGGACATATGGAGTGCCTAGACATGTGTCTTTTCATGCTTTTTCAATCCTTCTCTCCTTCTCATTTCTTCTTATGCATTCTTCGATACGCATACAACTTCAAACGGCTGGACATTTATGTGTCCCAATTACATACAACGTATTTTATATTATATTTATATTGAGTAACAAATTATATTGATGTAATGTTATTATATTTATTGAGAAAATTGATGTGTGAAAAATATTTAGAGACACAGTGAGCATTTCTTTTTATTAAATATTGACAAACAACAAGGATATAATAATTTACTATATTACACTCTGAATCGTCTGTGTCTCTGGCTGGAAAGCATCCATTAATTTGTGTTTAACGGTCAATAATCAGTTACGCAAACATAGACACGATGTGGGCGTTTTGAACACACTTAAAACCGATACGACACACGTGATGATACGGTAAAACCCATATTAGACTAGAGATTGAGAATGCGATCCATTTCATGCTGCAAATACTTCAAAGCTCTCTTTTGTTGATTGGTCAATTCATAAAATTCTTTCTCCTGATTAAGTTAATGAAGCATTTACTCTATCAGTGCGACCCACTTGGTGTTTCGAAGCGTTTGACCGACCAACCAGAAGAAAGAATTCTACTAACTGACCAATAAAAGAGCGCTTTAGTATACTTGTAGCATGAAATGAATCGTAGCCTGAGATTTAATTGAAATTTAAATATTGACCAATCAAAATAAAGTTTATTAAATTTCGTATTGATTTTCTTTCTATTCTAATCTTAGGCCGGTATTCATAGTCGAGTTTATATTTAAGATTGTCTTAAGTACAGTCTGAAAATGTCACAAGCCAATCAGAGGGCTGTATCGGTATCTTAAGACATCACTTAAGACAGGACGGTCTTCAAATTGTATGATACGAGCTTTAGATATGACGTAAAGAAAACGCGTGCGTGTACGCAATGTACGTAATACGCGACATATCATGCGGCCCGCACGCGCCTACGATATTCGGAAGTCGCGATTGACGGCAGGGACGACGCAGAGATGGCATCGTCGCAACACACGCGCATCTCGCACGTCGGCGGTAGTGTAGGCACGGGTAGCGGTGACGTAGTAGTGGTTCCTCGTGCGTCGGTGGTGCGCGCGGTGGTTGAGATAAGCAGCGCGGGGGACTGAAGTGCCGCAAGACCGGGAGATCTCGCGCCGCGCCGTTCGGCTCTCGCGTTCGTTTACGCCCGCTCGCTCCGTTTCATTCGGCCGGCACACACACGGCATTCCGCCACGGTCGACCGATTGTATAGGATCTTGGTCTCTCCCGCCTGATGTGACGGAGGCTCGCGATGCTCAAGGATCACACAGCAATCACCCAGGCGCTCCTCGGAACCCTGCTCACGTGGGCCCTCACCGCGGCCGGTGCCGCGCTCGTCGTCATCATTCGGGGAAAACAAGTGAGTATCGCCGAGCGGAGAATTCCCTTCCGGGACCTTCTCCGTGCCCTGCGCCAGTTCCCTACTTCCCGAACGCCTGTTTGCATGGAATTCGGTCCGGGGAGTCCGTGGGAGAAACTTAACCTTACCGGCGCATCCGCCCGTGCGCGAAACTCACTACGGAGCGCGACATTGGCATGTTTACACTTTTCTGTAACTGACGCGCGTCTCTCAGATGCACTATTTACACCCTTTTCTTCTCTTTGTACACAATACTCGTTTTATAAAGATAGAAGGTACAAAGGGAAATGTGAAAAATAATGACTATACTTACTTAATTTATCTTTTCTAGATTTTTTAGTTAGTCGGATTTTAATTTTGTCATAAACGCAGGAAAATATTGTTTACTCCAACTTAATAATTTTTATTGCTACGATAAACGTGTGTGCTACCGATATTTTTCATTTCTCCTTTTGTAAATTCCACGTAAATAGAAATGCATCTTTTAATTTAATCAAATCAATAACATTCGAAAGTGTGAAATTTCAATGAACAAACATTTGATGTCACGCGCAAATTTTTGAATTTCGATCATCATCGTTAAGGAAAAAGGGCGAAAATTTCTATTTACATAAGCGGGATTATTGCGATTCTTCATCACATTTAAATTTAGATCGTTACTTCGATGAATTCGCCCGCCTGACGGTACACAGCGATTGGCGGGCCCGCGTAATCCGTCGCTTCCTTCATGCAATTTAATTCGCGCGCGTATACAAGTTGAATATATCGTCGCGTTGGAGAGAGTCGCACGTATACATACGCGTCGTACGCTTTCACGTTCTCATCCAGACAAGATTACACGCGACTGTTTACGTCTTATATGAACGGAAAAGTCGAACAATGGGAAAAAAAATCAGAAAACGCTGCGACAGATATTAAAGAGTGACCCCAAAAAACACATAATTTTTAGCCTGTGTATGATATTTTGTAGGCTTTAAATTTTGAATCAACTGTGTCACTGTGTATCAGTATATTGCGTACCATGGAAAAAATATTAGGAACAGTGATAAATATTAAATATTAGAAATAAAAAAATTAGACGTAAAAGTAAATTAAGTAAAAGTAAATATTGGAATAAATATAACAGGAATAGAAATACAAGAATTTTAAGAATAGAGATTAAACGTAATTTACAATGGATATATAAATATTTTTTAAAATGTTTAGCGTGAATTTCATAAATAAGGAAATCTCACTTTTAAAGATCGAAAATTAAACAATTCTTTTTTTAAAATTGGCTCAATTTTTATAAAAATCCAAACAATTTAGAGAGAATTCATTGTGCATTTGTATTACGTTCAATTTCTAATTTTTTTTATTTCTAATATTTAATATTTATTTGTGTTTCCAATATATTTTTATATTATGCGTAGAACTTTGATATTAGATTATAATGCTTTATTGTCCTCCGAGAAATTTCAATTAAAGCTTTACATTAATAAAAATAACACAAAAGTCTGCCAGGTCCAAGATAGCAGTCGAAATAGTTAATAGAAAAATACAATAGGAAAGACCGATAGAAAGAGGCAATTGTCGACTTGCTTAGATAAAATTCACTTAGATAAAATAAATGTGCTATTTTTATTAATATAGAGCTTTAGTTATAATAGCTAATTTTGTTTTTCATTACAAGTGATATCTTACGACTAACTTTACTTTCAATTAACTTATTATTATCTTATCTTATAACTATTTTACTATTATCTTACGTCTATTACTTTTACTTTGCGACGCAATTTATTCTCAAAATTTCCTAACATTAAATTTTTGATTACACTATTCGTGCTGCAACTTTTCAAGAAATAATTTCTTGAATTTTTCACGAAATTGTCTAATAGGATTTACCTTCATTTAATCCGTTTTTTTCAATTATTGATTCTAACCTAATTTTTATCTCTGTTTTTAAAAAATTTAGAATTTTTCATTAAATCAATATTTACTTTTGATGTTAAAATATGCAATTTTATTTAATTATTATTTGAATAAAGTTTAATCAAGAAAATACAATATTATACAATATTTTCCTCAATACTTAAAAATGCATTGCGTCTACATATAACAGTTTACCTTCGATAACTGGTTGATGGCCTCTGATAACTTCACTTATTATTTCACAACAAGCGGTCCCACAATACGCAGAATTTCGCGACTTGGTCTTCCCGTTAAAAAATAGCATTAATTGCATATCTATAATAATGCTCTTGATAACAAATTTCTGTGAACTGAATATTTTCCGCCAAGTATTTAAGAATGATGTTTATTGCGTATTGGTTCAGGTTCTTTTTAGGTTTTTCAACAAAATGTTTGTCAAAATTATACTTAAAACTACGTAATACGTCAAAACGACAACGAATAATGTAGCATATAATTACTTAATATAGCATAATGACTGCATTTTATTGTTGCAGCAACAACGTTTTGTTATAAGCAACTTTCAAACGTGAAAATCGATCCAAATAAAATGTTGCATAAATATTTATTAGAATTTTGTTAGTTTATATGTAAACGATATGATTTAATTTATCACGTTACTTCCTTATCAAAGAACTTAGCACTATTATATGGAAATTGGGTCTTGGTGAAATGAATTAATTTCTAATTGATGTAACTTATAATATAGCAAACAAAAGACATTACTGACACAAAGCTTAATAATAGATAGCTTTTGAGTGATGTATCAAAAGTTTAAAATTTATACTCACAAAACATGTTTGACCATAGTTAAAAAATATCCATTTGAATTTTATGAATCATTATCTATGATATTTTTTGTTCACCATGTTATAAGCTGCAACATATGTGAAACCCAACTCATTTCACTGGAATCCTATTTTTCAGATAATTAATGACGAATCCTTTACAAATTAATAAGCATTAGAAAATGCGATTTTACATAAGAGTTAATGCAAACAGAAAATAATTTTTAAACTAATAATTTGCTCAATTTTTACATAAATATTTAGGCATAATAATAGAGAGAGAGAGAACGAGTTATTAAATTTTTATACTATTTTGATAATGCTTTGAATTAATGTGACATGTTTACATTCTTAACGCATTCCGTTAAGATTTAGTGTAACTATTGTAATTTAAATTGAAATAAGTCTATTTTTGATAAAAATTTTGCTAGAAGAGATTAATTAAAAAAAGTTGAATACAGGGCCATTGAAATAAATTTATTGTGCACAAAAGCGTATTAATAAAGGGAAGCAAGCGCCAAATTAAGTTGTAAGTTTCAATTTCCCATTCCTATCTATAACATCAATTGCATATGTCCGCTTCTGTTAGATTTAATATCTTCGGAAACGTGTACTGTGTATACTATATTAATTTAGAGAAACAACACACACACAACACAAACACAATCTAAAATTATTGATTGGATTATTGTTTACTCTTCACGATGGACGTTATTGAAAAAATCTTTCAATATAGTATATAGGAAACAATATAATTACAAATAGACTCTCAAAATTTAAAATATGAAACAATAATAAATAAAGCTAATGAGAGCCAGAGCGATTAAATCAGTACAAGTTGATTATTATAAAAATGAGTACTCAAGTAGTATTGATTGAATTCTAATATTTATCTTTATCTTGGTGGATACGAGAGCGTGCTATTTTATCATTTATCTTTTTGCTGAGAAAAACTCCAAAGAGATTGGACATGGTAAAAATTTCACTATGAATGCTTTAAAGCATTTTTTTTTATTCATCAATTCGAAGAAAAAGTTTTACGAATTGATCAATCAAAGAATTTATAGCATTACGTTGAAAGTATACGGTATATATTAGCATATATATTAATGAAATTCGTAACTTAGCCTTCCTCGTAGAGCGGTTGAACATAAATGGTTAGACCATAAGCAAGAAGTAGTTCTTCACAATCAAGTGAAGCGAAAACCGTCGAAGAAAAAGTGTTTCTATGATCGGATATATTCATCTTCGCGCTATGACGCGAAATATAATAGTCACATCGTTAGATTTTATAAATTTTTTTAATTAGAGTATTTTATATTTTATCTTTTCTTTATTCTATAATCTAGATACGGATAGTAAGATATCAAAATACATTTTTCTCTTATGGTATCGCGGTATAGCTGCGATGTTGATTATAATTTTCACGGAAATATAACTAGCATTCAATATCCTCCGTCAGTAAATTTGACCTGACATTATCACAATGGTATATAAATCTTGCTTCTAATTTAAAGGAATGTATTCATATTCGATGAACACGATATGATAAGATTCACAAATTTACATTGTTAGATTCAAATCGTGGATCTGTTAAAATAATGAAATAATTGCGGTGTAAACGAATGAATCCTATCTTATGCATATTGATTGTCAAGGTTTGATTTTCTGAACTATATAATAAATTGAGTTAAAGGTCAATACAAACTTACGAACGCAGATGTTTGTGCGATATCACAATTATTAAACATCTGTGTTTGCAGGTTCATGCTGGCCTTTAATTTGTTGTACTTATTATTGGTATTATTATTAAGGTATTATTTGTTAATTTTCTATCTAAATGAGCGAATTATTTTATTTTATTTATCTATATCATTTTAATTTTGTATTGCACCAACATAAAACGACTACTTATTATAAATACAATGTATTAATGGTTATGCACATTATGCATATTTCTTATTACATGAATTTTACAATATACATATAATGAGCAAATGGCTCATGAAGCATAGTTTGTACAGTTTATAGTCAGGGTTAGATAAGTTAACGTTTTTTTTTTTTTTAAAGTAAATTAATAAAGTTAGTGACTTATCAAATTAATTTAGTCATATTAAAAATTGCATAAATAAAAAGACTAACTCATTAAAGTTACGTTAAGACTGAATTAACTTAAGTTATAAAATTAATTTAATTTGATTTTTGATTTTTTTAATTTGAATTAGTTTTGAAAAACATTATTTTTATTAAATCAGAATGTTTTAATAACAAAATAATTACAATATAGGTCTTCAGATAAATTAAATATTTTATTTGTAAATTTTGAAATAAAGTTTTTTTTTTACTAATATATATAGACTTTTATATTTACCTAATAATACATTCGGAAAACAGCGCTATTGCGTAATTCTTTTATCATTCATAATATCCTTGTAAAACAAGGATAGAATAATGCAAAAGTGCTGATAACGCTTTACTAATTGTAGACTTTTTTTTAAATTTGTCAATTTCTTATACATTCATCTTTGGGCGCTGTGAACATTACGTCCATCACATAATCATTGAACTTTTTCTAAACTTTTTTATGATTTGTAATAGTTACGATTTAGAGAGATAAAACAATTTTATCTTAAAACAAAGTTATTAAATTAAAGTTTAAAAATAATTAGATTAAGTGAAAAATTAATTCGTTCAAAATTAACTAAATGTTGTGTGTGTGTTGTTTGAAGTTAAAAGTTATTAACTTCTTATTTTAACTTTTAACTTATTAACTAGTTACTGCTCAAACTTATTTACAGTATATTATAAACAATTGTGCAAGCATCTACATATATTGCAATTCGTATGTCTCAAGTTTCAATTATATACATACATATATATATATACACATACACACACACATATACATATATATATATATAATATATACTATACATACCTGTATCAGTATATTATAAATAGCCTAATATATCTATGTATTAGGACTAGTAATAAGTCAGAGTAATGAATCTAATAATAAATCATAACAATAATAAATCTATAATTTGATAAATATTTCGTTCATCATACGCGCGCGCGCGTGTGTGTGTGTATGTGTGAGTGTGAGACATCTGCCCAGCTGGCCCTCCCACTTAACCAAATTTTAATTTAAAAAATTGTATAAAAATGCAAATTTTGCGCTCATTCCGTTTAGCTAAAAAAAATTTTTTTGTGGTGGGGGGTTGAGTAAGCAGTCAGCTCCTCCACAAAAAATTTTTTTTTAGCTAAACGGAATGAGCGCAAAAATTTTTGTTTGCGGATATGGATAGCGCATAAATAGCGCATTATTATACAATTTTTAAAATTAAGATTTGGTTAAATAAGGGAGTCAGCTAGGCAGATATGTGTACAAAAAATAGGAAACGCTTTTAAAACGCTCCGAAAATTGTGCAATTTTCGGATCACCGTAACTCGCTGAAAAATTATCATAGACAGAAAAATAAAAAGTATATACTTTAAAAAATAAAAAAGCATTTTAAAAGATAAAAAAGAGCATTAAAAGATAAAAAAAAAAGCGTTTATATCTTAATACGCGTTTTTTTATTTACAGTTCTGTATCTTATTAACAAAATCATCTTATTATATTATATTACTTAAAATTATGTACATTTAACACTCTGTAGGTCAATAAAAAATTTTTTATTAAAAAATACAGTTTTATCTATAAAATTCTTTTTTAAAAATTTTCTTGTGATTTTTCTTGATCGAATTATGACGACTTTGAAGTTAAACTTGCATTTCTTATAAGTGTTAAAATTCAACAAAAAGTCATCCCAAAAATTTCTATATTATCTTTCATATATATATATGTATGTTTTATGTATGTATATTATAATACACATAGGAATCAATCTACATTTATTCTGTGCTGTACACATTTAAACTGTGAGATAAATATTGAGAAAGAATTATTTTAAACTTTCTGTTAACGTTTGATAAATATCTTGGCATTATACATATTTGCTTTAGGGATTATTTAATTGGTATCGAATCGATCTGAGAGATTAGACCTTGACACTGCCGATCGCATATGCACGCGTTAATATACATTATACAAGATAAGACATGAGTTATTTGTAAAAAATGTTTACACACATTTTTTTATATTCTCTTGTAAGTCTTATGTGTATATATCTCAAGTAAACACCTACCACACCCCTGATGTCTCGACGGAAGCTAAATCAAAGTTGCTAAATCACCTTGGCCAAAAAAAGCAAATATGATTTGATGAAGCACGTGATTCCAAGAGAAATCTAGATTATTGCTGTAACTGTCAATGCGGTATTTTTACTTCAAGGCACCTAATATCGATCTCTAATAAATATTTTATAATAATAGTATTTTTTAAAATAAATACTAAATAATGAAAAAAAAGAATAAAAAAGATTATGATGTAAAGTCCTACGGGTGTGTGTGATATAATATTATTAAATACTACTGGGTGAATTTTCATTCAAGTGCTTTTTGAGTTTAGTACAATTTGTTTAGTAAAATTTAGCTAACTTAAAATAATATTTATTAGATTGTTTAACATTAAAGTTTATTTTTTACATTAAAATAGTGTTAGTTCATTTATTCTGACACCTGCAATTCATATATGTGTAAGATAAACGTAAATAGTAAATAGCACAAAAAATTTTTTTAATATGTGAATTTTTACGCAGAGTAATGTTGTATAAGAAAAATGTAAGTAGTATTCCAGAGTTAAGACGAACAATTTTAAAGAAATAATTCCGAAATAGATACTCTAACATTTTTGGAGCAGAATCTAACCCTAAAGAATAAAATTGCTCTCAAAATTGACAATTAAGCTCACTTTTTTTTAAGTCTGGCTCAATTATTACTCTTTGTCACGTACTTTTTAAAAATATACTTTACTTTAAAGATTTTTAAGAGTATATACACATGTATTGAAACTATAAGAAATACTAATAAAAACTGCAGAAGAAAAAATGTCGAATGTTTCATCCTAAATTTAAACTTGATAACTCGGAAGAATCGCACGGATTAAATGCAAATGGCAAGATTCGTCCCCTTTCCTTAGTCCCTTCATCCAAATTTTCGAGTAAGGGAGCTGCTTATACGTCTCTATAATGATTCGTTTCCGTTTCAGCGCAAGCTCCTCGATGTCAGCCTGGGGTTCGCCGCTGGCGTGATGACAGCCGCGAGTTACTGGTCATTGCTAGCACCGGCGATCGAAATGGCAGCCGAGAGCAAGATGTACGGAGCGGAGGGCGAGTACGCGTTCGTGCCGGTCGCAGTTGGCTTTCTCGTCGGCGCGGCGTTCGTATACGGGACGGACGTGTTGATATCCACCCTCGGCATTCAGTCCCCCAATGTGCTTTTAGCTATGCAATCAGTCGGTACGAAACAAAGACGCAAGATCATTGCGAAACTAAAGAGTGACGAGGATTTAGACGATGATTATGATCCGTTACTTAACGACGTACAAATACCCGGTGGAAAAATATACACTCGTGTTGAATCGACCTCTATCGATGGTATCTCATTTTCTTCTCGTAAAATCGCAGTTTTTTTTATGTCTCTCTTTCTTTATAGGCTTGAAAAATGAGATCAGTTCGTGAGATGATACGTATATACTGTATATATATCTTTTTATATACCCTTATCAAAATTTATCATCGTTTTTATGCCCTATATGGATCATTTTTAACCCGTTTTTAATCCGTTTTTAGTCCGTTCTTGCCCATTTCTTGCATTCTCCAGCACTCGCAATGATGACGAGTATATACGCGAATATGCGTATTAATATACTTATTATTTTAGTATATTATTCGTTTTTAGTACTAGTTTTTCTGATGAGCGACTATATGTTAATACACGTTTCTCTTTTACTTATAATCAGCTTTGTTCAATACGAAATGAAGCATGTTAAAAAAACATGCATTTACTTATCATAAAATAGAAGCATAAAAGCTAATTTGCAGAATGTACGTGCAACTATGAATTGAACGATTTCTTGTGTATGCGTGCGTGCGTGTACATAAAATAATATATATTACTTTTAAACATAAAAACTGAATATTTCGTATTTTTAATTCTTTTTATAACAGCAGGTAGTGTAACGTTTTTATTAAATTAGTTCATTTATTTTAAATATACAATACATAAAAATCTAAATATATAAGTAATGTCTATATAAGAGCCAACACAGGATGTAAATATGTGAAATAAAATTTATTAAATTAGTATAACGTATACGTTTCGACTCTCGTTTTAGGTTCTCTTCAGTACAAAAAAAAATACCATCAAATCCAATTCACTTTAACTAAATCTTTCCTGAGTTTTATCCAGGATTTCAGTAAAAAACATATACGTTATATATTAATTTAATAAATTATATTTCACACACTTATATCCTGTGTTGGCTCTTATAGGCATTACTTATTATATTTAGATTGTTATCTTTTGAGCCTTTTATTAATAATTAATTTTTAATTAACGCTGCCTAAAATATGCGTCATAACAATTCTAATTCCTTCTTTAATTATACTAATTTTGTATTACACTGTCTTTTACTGAAATCCTGGATAAAATTCAGGAAAGATTTAGTTAAAGTGAATTAGATTTGATGGTGTTTTTTTTGTACTAAAGAGGATCCAAAACGAGGATCGAAACGTATACGTTATATTAATTTAATAAATTGTATTTCACACACTTACATCCTGTGTTTCAACTCTTATAGGCATTACTTCTTATATTTAGATTTTTATTTTTTGAGCCTTGTATTAATAATTACTTTTTTTACAATACGTAATATATGTACAATACTTGATAAATTAAATTCTAGATAATTGCGGTTTTTCAATTACGCTAATCATCACTTATTATTGTAAGTATTATACAAGGTGTCCAGGAAAGAGACAAATGACGCTTAAGGGGAGATTCTTGAGATCATTTTGAGATGAAAATTCTAATACCAAAATGTTAAGACAATAGAATAACTTTTGAATTATAAGCGTTTAAAATTAACGAATCATATCGTCTAAAGTTAGCGCGCTCAGGAGCGGCACAATGCAAAATACTAAACGCGAAAACTTATCACTTCTTTTGTCAATATTGATTTTAGAATTACATATGTGAATATAAAATTTTATTCTATTGATATTTCTACAAATGCATTGTTCAAATACGCTTTAAACATTTTATTAAAATAATCCGGAGAAACTAGGAACTTATATGAATATTATAAAATCATTAATTATGAACAATTGTAATTAATTGTATATCTTTATAATAATTAATTTACAAAATAAATTATGTATATTATAATAAATGTTCGAATTGTACTCCATTCATATCTATGCATAATCTTGCGTGCTTAATAAACTTTGTTGCGCATTGATTATCATATCGGGTGATATGTTTGCAACTGCTTCAACATTGTGTAAATCCTCCCGATTGCGTACTAGCTCCCGATAAATATAATTTTTTAAATGCCCCCAGAGAAAACATTTATTAGAGTAAGTTGTGCGCAGATGTACAAAACAATTTCCGATAAGTCAGCTTTCGCGTTTAGTACTTTGCGTTGTGCCGCTCCTGAGCGCACCAGCTTTAGACGATATGATTCGTTAATTTGAAACTCTTATAATTCAAAAGTTATTATAGTCTCAACATTTTGGTATTAGAATTTTCGTCTCAAATGATCTCAAGAATCTCCCCTTAAGCGTCATTCGTCTCTTTCCCGGACACCCTGTATATGTTACGAGCAAAGTACGCATAGTGGGCAGTGTTGACATTGCCCGAACTATTTGTTGTACAATGTCATCATTTCTTAAACCGTGTCGATATTGCCTAACACAATATATATATGTACACACACACACACAAAACATATATGTGTGCGCGCGCGCGCGCGCGCGTGTGTGTGTGTGTGTACATATATATATATATATATTTGCAAATGGACAGTGTCAAAACCATGTTAATATTGTCCAACGCGATTGGGTTAGGCAATGTCGACACGGTTCAAGAAATACAGCAAACAGTTACACACACACACCCACACATCGTATTATGTGTGTGTAACAACAATATATGTATATACAAGATGTCACGTAAATTTTTTGCCATCGCTTTTGTGTAGATAGAGCGAACTAAACTGTGTCGAAAGATCCTCTACCATTTTGCAATGTTTGTAATGGTTAACGAGATATGAATTTTTAAATATAGGCGAATAAGTACGTTCGCTCGGCTTACTGCTATCAAATGTATACGTCCACCGATCGTTTGGCACATGAAGAGCAGAGACTCCTTAGCAAGCACCCCACTCTACGCACACCGACGCAAGGCTCATTGGACGGCGCGCTTGCAAGTAGACCATCTTTCGCGCGCCAAGCGATCGGTAGGTCGAGCAAACACGTTTATTTGCCTATATTTAAAAATTCATATCTCGTTAACCACTGCAAAAATTGCAAAGTGGTAGAGGACCTTTTAACACAGTTTTGTCCGCTTTATTTACACAAAAACGATGGCAAAAAATTTACGTGACACCCTGTATATAATTCATATATTAAATATAATTACTCTCTAACAAATAAATTCTGTTAAAGATAAGCAAGTATAAAAACTAATATCAACGTTGAAGTTGTGTGAGTCAGTGGCAGGATGGTAGCAAAGAATCGGAGACTAATCGTAAGCTTTGATTCGAATCTCGGTGGGACTGATTTTCTTGTGCTATCGGCTACGCTTTACTCGAATCACAGTAATCACATTATTTCAAAATACAATGTGATTGATTATGAGTGCTGAGCAAGTATTTTGCACCCGTATATATCCATTTTTACATCTCGAATTTTTACGTCACGTTTTTTATCTCACGTTTTTACTACTCAAAAATACTCGTTATATATTGTTACAACGGATATACTCGTATGCACTTTATTTTAACCACTCGTTTTTAAATTCTTGTTTGCGACGTAAAAATGGAGTCATACTTTTTGAGTAAAAATTGGAGTCATATCACTCGAACAAATCGTTTGCGCGGGCTAAAAATGTTTTAAAAGCGGTGAAAAATTTTTATAAGGGTATATGTGTATAAACGTCCACACACGTACACTCGCCCCTCTTTGCTTTATCGCAGATGTATTCGGTTCTTATTCGGGAATAAGCATTCTCTCAAATTATTTTCATGAAAATTATTAGATCGATCTATTTTATATGTACAATCAATGTAAGTTATAATTTTTGCATGTAGCATGATCAAAGTACTTATACAAAAATAATAATATGATAAAATTGATAAAGATACTTGATAAAGATCATGTAGATAAATTAAATTTACAATTTTAATCTGACACATCTTCTTTCTCTCTTTAATTAATTCAAGGATGAAAATATATAGGATGTCCCAAAATTCGCAAATTAAAATACTATAATAAGAAAGTTTTCAATAAATTAAGTAAAAAAAATTATTTGTTTTTTATTTTAAGCAACAGTTTGTGAAATAATATAAGTTAAAATATGACCAATTACAGACTACATTTATAGACTACTTTTAACGTTGAAGTGCACATTTACTTAATATTTCTGCATGTGCGATTCATGGACAAATAACTGTCTAAACGGAATCTGTAATTTGCTGTATGTAAACTCTTATATCTCGGAAACTACTACTTGAAATAAAAATGTACGCATAACTTTTTCACTTAATTGTTTAAAAACTTTCTTGTTGGGATATTTTAATTCGCAAATTTCGGGATGTTGTATATATAGAGCAATAATACGAAAATTATTTTTAAGATAAACATTTTTATTAAGTTATTAATTAAATCAAAATATATAAAATACTGATTTAAAATTTTTTAATATATAAATATTATATAATAAATTTATGCAGAGATCATTGCTTATTCCAATTAAATATGTTGTTTGCATAAATTGCTAGAGTACATTTTCCTGATGAGAAATGATATTCAATAGAAATTTGAATAGTTGATTCATACTTACTCTAAAAACATCCCATGAATTGTATTAGCATGCATATTTGCTAATTGTATATGCATGATATTATTCGTAGTGAAATACGTGGGACTTACACACAGGTCCAATATAAATTCATAAATAAAACCGATCTAATTATATATCTGACCTAATTCAAATAAAAACGGAAGATAAATTGAAATTATAAACTCTATAGATAGAGAGTGCAGAGTGGTGTAATTAAAAATATGAAATAACGAAAAAAAAAAATGGAACTAAAAACACAGTTTAAACTCATCATTAATACAAAGTGCACGTCCGCGTAAAATATTATTTATAATATTATATATTTAAATAAAAAAAATAAAATATAAACTTTGGATCTGTGTGAACAGTTTTACGGAAATTAAAAAAAAACTGATCTTATTAACCCTGCCTAAACGGATTCAATTGTAATAAATTTAATCGAAAGTATTATGTACGTAAAGAATTCCTCTTTTTAAGCCTTGTACAATTTGCATTTGCATGAAGTGATCCTGTGCTCGTGGCTCAGTTTCCGAAAATTGCGCTGGCAAGATGTGGTAAATGTTGTTGTGAATATTTAATTTTTCAGGCTTCTACGAACAGAATAGTAGACGCCGACAAATCCCGAATATAAACCGCTCATCAGAATCAGCAGAAATTGGGACTGTTTACGAAGATCCTAATAACGAAGCGAAGAATAACCAATGGCGGAGGATATTACTGCTAATTGTTGCAATTACGGTATATTTCTACAAGATAATAAATAATCATGCAACTCACGCTTGTTTAGATTTTTCTTATGTGATATAATTATGAAACAAATGATAATATATGTATAATATTTTGATTGTTACAAATAGGTCCACAATATTCCTGAGGGTCTTGCGGTTGGTGTAGGCTTCGGAGCAATAGGTAGTAGTGCATCAGCAACTTTTGAAAATGCAAGGTAAGTTACAGACAGTAGAAACCTGTACTAAACATCATGCGTAATTATAGTTTGCAACAAACAAAACATTATATTGTAAAAATGAATACGCAAGGTATCCGTATATTTATAGAAAATCTGAATAATATCCTCTTTATAATTACATCTCTGATAAATTCGAGATATTGGCTTTCTATCCTATATAGTGTAGATTGTAGTACATTTTTATTAAAGATTAGTTTATTGATATAACATAAAACACCGTAAAAATATTTTAATGTCGAATATTGCCTTAAATGATTTTATATTGATTAAATTTAATTATCAATTAAAGGTATGTTAATTAAAAAAAAATAATGTACTTGTTTACACGATGACGCGATCTACTAATAATGTTTAATAAAGACTGTACTAGTATTATACTAGTTTCGATCAATCTCCTATTTAACTTATTGGACGAGTCAAAAGGGTTAAGAGGATGTTGACGTGACGGACAAACGGAATCGCTGTTTTACCGATTAAGTGCGACTTACATACGATTTACAATACAAACATACGATTTGTAAGATGCGACATATTACTACATTAATAAATATTACGTGCACACATACACGATTTATCGAAAGAGATAATCTTCTACATTAGTTTCTAAATTTAATTCTAACCGATTCATCATTACTCATTTATTTATTTTATATCTGCCTTTGTTTTTACTTTGCATATATAACATGCATATCTTTTTACGAAGTAAACGTCTTGGTAAATTAACAGCTTTACCATATTCCTTTGGTTTATAGTATAATTCGAAAAGCAAAACGATAACATTTTGTTTTGCATTTCGATTACATAGTCATAGTATTTATATCACGTAGTACAGGGATTTAGCTTAGTATTTATATAAATACCAGAATTTATTTTAATCATTAACTAGTTTTATATAATAAAGTGTAGACGTTATTAGAGGAATATCAGATGGATCTAAATGGCACCAATAAAAGTAGTTTTATGCCGTAATAAGAGTCAGTCCTCGTTTTTGTTTTTTTTTTATAAAAGATAAGCAACAGGTTTGTATATCGGTGAATAACCCAAGCTAATCTGACCAGTATGCGCGTTAATAGGAAAGAGGGCATAAAACTTCCATCTAATAAAATCAATGAAATTATTTAATTATTTATCATATTAAATAAAATATCCGATATCTATGGAATGTAAAATGATAAAAAAAAAGATTTAATTCGTTCGAATCAAATCTGTTTTTATGATCTTATAAGATATCTTAATATCTTTCGATCACATCATAAGATTTCTGTTATCGATCGCGAAGATTTCTGTTACCGACTGCGAGTATACTTTCTAGCATCTCGAATTTTACGCCAGATGACAGCAGCATTATAAGTTGCGGAACGCGCGTAAAAATTTAGACGTAGTTCTTTACGAAAAGAAGCTGAAATTCGCGATACGAGTCATAAACTTTCTTGGCTTGTCTCGTTTCAAGTCGCGTTCGGTTTGCGTCCAAAAATGTTCGATGGATCGAAATCTCAATTGGCGGGCGATATAAAGTAGAGGAAAGGAAAAAAAATCGAGGAGCTGCTTGATTTCCATGATTTCCCTGGTTCGGCCCATCTTTTCCCGTCCCGCCCGGCCTCTTTTCGAACTTCTTTAGCGACAATAAGCAGGACGGAGCAAGTAAGTGCAAATTTCGCGTCTGATTTCGATAATCCTTGACTCTCCGACGACGTAATCCACGGTACCATCCGCGTTTTACGGCGTTATGTCGATGCCGTGTCGCGAGGAGCGATTGACGAGAGCCGGCTTGGCCGCGCGGCGCGGCGTGGTAGGAGGTCCCCATGAATGAGCTCTATGGTGGTCGACCGCGGCTGCCAGTTGGAGGCGAAGTTTATTGGCTCCGGTCGGTGCTTGCCTGTGGCGCGCGGGCGCGCAGGGAGTGAAGGGCACGTGTGGCCCTGGAATCCGACGAGCCCTAGGCGCCGCGCATTCCATTCCAGCAGCCCCCTCCCCCTCTCTCTCTCTCTCTGTCGCTCCGCTTACCTACCTACCTACCCCGCGCCTATACGTGTTCCGCTTCTTCTTTCGCGCTGCTCTTCGCTCTCCTTACCCCGCGTCAGCTCACTCCGACTCTCCGTCCTCCGGCCGATGTCTTCGAACTTGCTTTCTTCCCTCGAGTCGCGGTTGCTTTTCGAGAATTTCACCGTGTACGTCGCGATAACCCACGTCCCACGTCGCGTGCGACTTTTTACGGAATCTTCTCGAGGGAAAATTTCCAGAGAGCGAGGTTTATAGAGATCTCTTTTGTTAATTACAGTAGAACCCAGAATAACTAACTTCGTATTATCCGATCCCCTCGATTATTTGCTATCGAGTGCTTTCTTCCTCTTCCTCTTTTCCTCCCTTCCTCCTTCTCTCTCAAGTTTAATTCTTCGGTACATATCTAATGTATGAAAGAATTGTTATGTTTTATTTGATTATAAGATTTTGGAAAAAAAAAAGGTTGATTGTATAGAATTTAAAAATCTAATTAATGTCTATTTAAAATATGTTTTTATAAAATGAAATGCAACCTTTATTTTACCCGATTTAGGTTGATTCACATTAGGTCGGATTATCAAGGTTTTACGAAGTATCCCTTTTGTGAATATTTTGAATTAATAAACTTTAATGTAAGAAATACATTTTAAAATTACTTTTATACTTGATATTTGATTGACAATCTTGTGATTGATTCAAGTGCAGTTATTAAGATCAGTTACGAACATTTGTTCCATTGAATGTCATTTGCATCTAGCTAATGTATACTCATTAAAATTTATTTACGATTATAATATTTCCGTTTTATAAAATCTTATATTAGCTTCACTATTAAAATGGACGATTAATTTATTTTGAGGTATTAATTTCAGTTTTAGTTTATGCGATTGCATTTCGAGTCCAACAAATCTTATCAACGCGTAGTTTATAAAACTAAAATATTATATATGCAAAAATGTGCATTTAATATTATTTAGCATTAAGATCCGCTTTGATTAAAAATAGGATTATTTCTATTAATTAATTTATTCCCGTCGGTTTAATTTTGATTTATAATTAAAGAGTCTACTATATGGAAAATTTGATCCTGATGAAATAAGTTAATTTTTACATATGATGTAATTAATAATATAATGAACTCACAAAATACGTCATAAACATAAGGCTTAATAAGGAATAAAAGATAATTTTTGTGCTGTGGTCTATTATTCTATAGAAAAGAAGACACCTTTAATACACTATTATAGTTTAAAAACTATCCAGTATTGAGTTTTATGTCTATAACATCTTTTGTGTTTACCTTTATAAACTACAATACATTGTATGTGAAAATAAACTTGTTTCACCGACTTAATTGTTCATATAATTAGTGCGGAATCCTTTTGTCGGATTCGACATGATAAATGAAAAATTACGAACCAAAGAATTATATATATATATCCAACATATACATATTCAGCGTGTTCTTAACAACATCTTCATCATGTAACGTGACGTTTATAAAAGCGCCGCACCTTAAGCGGCTTTACGTTCTTCCTAATGAAGCTACAATCGCGCAAGATTAATCTAACGAAAGATCTTAATGCGATATTAAGTAAGAGACCGAAGCTTATCACCGTATCAAGCGAATGCGCGTGCACGTGGCTGTGCACGTGCAACGTGAAGCGTTCATTTCTGATCCGCCCGGTCTCCGGATCATTGTCGTTTGACGCATGAACCCGCCGTGCAATTCGCCTAGCGTCTTCTATACATGGGTATTCGCTGTTTCTGACGACTTATTTACGGTCGTTACGTGATTCGCGCGAACGGATACGTGACACATCGCGCTTATACATATATCGTTCTTACACAACGGCCGACGTTAACTGAACAACCTTTCCCCGTGTTATTTTACATCGAGAATCAAACGCTGATTTATCTCGTATAGAACGTTGACGAGAAAATCGGAAACTTGAGAGACGTGTAGCAAATTTACAAACGCAAAAATCAATGCTTGAGAAACTTCTTTGTTGCTTAGGCGCACACATACACACACTGTATTCTTTATTTGAAGCGAATGATTAACTCGTGTTGTAAATAAGATACAGAAGGAAAGCAGGCAATACGTTTTTGTTAATCTTCCGTAATAAACAAATGATAAAACTACACAATAGCGATAAGCAAGCAGTCAATAGAGGCAAATAGACAGTAAATAATGATGCGCGTTGTCCTCCTCTCGCTGTGCTTCACTTACAAGTGGTCTATTAAAGAATTGGTTAAAATAGATAATGATTGACGCTTATGCTTTATGATTGACTGATAAATTATGTTATTTTTATTTGTATTTAACATAATTATTTTTGTAATACTTCTATTTTGACAAGGAAACCACTAGATTATTCTATACGTTATATTATATTAGAAAGACTACGAGATAATATCATTGATTATACAGTCTCTTTTTTATAACTGAATTAAATGTACTTAAAATGATATAGATATAGGTTTGATGTTTAGCAAAAATAAGAAAGTGCAATCTAACACAGAAATAAAAACCGGCCTAATAAAGGAAAAATCTTAAAAGAAAGAATACTTATTAATTCTTACTTTTAATGTATGTCATGAAATTGTAAAATTTTTTCCGCGTATTCTGTTAGCATATTGTAATACGTATAACCGCTCATGATACGTAACACTAATTGCAAATGAAAATGCAAAAACGTCATTTAGTTATCGCAACCAGAAGTTGCAAACAACGCTCGATTATGAACGGAATTACTGTTCCGCTGACGATATAACGCAAAATTGAGCAACGTCACCTATTTCCGATGCTAATGATGATAAGAGCGTTCTCGGCGACGACGGTTAAAATGTCAATGAGAAACCGGGCAATTAATACCACAACGAGAACGTACGGAATTTTCACGATGATTGCAACCCGACCTGGGAACTTTCGCGTCGCTCTCGGCAAGTAATTAGCGCCGTCACTTTAAAAG